CTGATTTTGATGAGACTGGTACTGTCGAGAAAGTGAAATAATTTATTCTGAATAACAAAGGTATTGACAATAATCTAACGAAAAGAAATATTTTGATGAATCATGGTTTGCGTATTATTGTGTGTTATTATCAGTAACCAGTCAGGTCTTGCAAGGAAACACGTCTCACGTCAACGACATCGATGGGTATTTTTAGACTTTTCCTCTTTATCCATATTCCCAAAAGGAAAACTTTTTTTTTCGTTTCTTTTTTAAATGGCCCATTCCGTTGTCGTTATGTCTTTTCTGGGGCACTTGATACGGCAAACAACCTCAGAGATCATTTTTGGTGGCAATGATATATAGTTTACAAAAATAGTTCAATGAGAGGCATTTACCCCACTCATTGTGACAGTTATACCGCCTCTGCCAAGGCAAATCAAGTGAACAAACTGGATATGACAAATTCAACCTGATACGCTTTCCAGGGGCGGATACAGCTTTTGAGAAAGTGGGGCGGGGTGCACACTCTTAGAAGGGGTGTGTGTGCACACTTGATTTTCACCCGTTTTAACGGGTCATTAAATTAAACACCTCAGGACACCCCTGCAAACACACACACACAACCACCCTCTCTCTGGATCCGCCTGTGTATGCATTCTCCAAGAGACTATGTGAGGTACAACGTAAGTCCCCGGAGCTCAATTGCTGGTCGTAAGTGGCGACAGTGTATCGGGTGGTCAGATTCGGTAACTTGGATAATATGGTCACCGTCTCCCACAGCGACAGCAATAAGTGGTGCTCATAGCATCAATCACTATTATCGCTGTGCAGATTCCACAATGTACATGCCTCTGTACACACACGCCTATACCCACCTTATATTCGCATCCTGCACATGTCATATACTGTCTGTAGTAGGTTTTATGTTGAAATATCGCACGTACGTAAACGAATCTATAGCTTTTTTATCAAACACATCCACATATTGTGTGTGGTAATGATATACAAGTTATTCCTGAATAAAGGTAAACTGGAATGCTGAGAAAAAATGTAATTCCTTTAAGTACCGTCTTACATTTATTGAAAACCACACAGCTGGTGCAAAAATCGATACCACTGTATACATCTCTGAGCAGGTCTGGACGGGTTACAAGTCACACTGACAAATTGGAGTACAGCTGCTCATGCTGGTGTCTACAGCTACACTGATAGTATTACGTAGGTTTACGTGTGTAGTCTACAACATTATGTCATGCCATGCAACACCCAAACCGGATCAGTTGACTAATGGGCCACGGAGCGTCCAACTCTGACCACAGACATGAGAGCACTGAGCGGCATGTCCTTGTTACATGTACACATGTACGTCATTGACATACATCAACATACATACCTCGTCGGTGATACATAAATCGTCACACAACACTTTGAGCCGAGTTATCATTGGCTATCAGTTCGCGTGGGTGCTTTATCACATGTAAAAATCAACATACTCTTTTTCAGCTGATTGGCTGCTTGGCTGTTGATTTCTTCAAATGAGTGAGTTTAGTTGTACGCCGCTTTTAGCAATATTCCAGCAATATCACGGCGGGGGACACCAGAAGATGAGTTTCACACATTGTACCCATGTGGGGAATCGAACCAGGCTTCTCGGCATTACGTGAGAACGCTTAACCACTAGGCTACCCCACCGAACCGATTTCTTTAAACTGTCTGCGAGTTGTTTGTTTGTTTGAGCCACTTGTCGGGACAAAACCGATACTGAATCTGAATTAATTCTTTAAATAAATATTTCTGAGGAAAAGTTTGAGAAATGTTATGCATTGCAACTCCTTTATTTTAAGTCTTTCCAGAGACCATATCATAATATTATTATTTATTACCTACGAGGGCGAACATATCGGGGTTCATATTTTTCATACGATGCCCTAGGACAAATATCACTTTGTCATGGTGACGTGACGTCATGAACAATGCTATGTCGTCACGGTTCTTCTGTGACGTTGCGTTCTACATGCGGCGACGGCGGGTAGCCAGCCTATGTTTGAAAGTAGATTTGGGTTTATTTTCCTCAATCCGACGACTTCGGTAATAAACAGAATATTATATTCGTGCCCATATCATACTATGTTTACGACACTCGTGCCTATATCGGTATATCCCTCGCTCTCGCTCGGGAAATACCAACATTTAGGCACTCGTGTCATAAACATATACTCTCCCCAAAAAGAAACGCATCATGAAAATAGCAATTTCATGTAGCAATGAATTAAAACCTGATTCATTTTACAAAAAAGTTTTGCTCTGTTTATGAGTCCTATGGTGTTTATGTTTTGAAACATCACAACAAAACGCACCATCCGAAAAATACCCGTATTTAACAGCATGATTTTCAATTTCGGCGTGTAGTGTTACAGAATACACAATTCACAAGCAATGCACGAGAAAGTTGGGTATCAGATAGTCTCAATGATGGGTATAAAAGGTTGATCGCTGTCTGTCGATTATTCACTGTATTTGGAATATTGTTGACGAACGCAAAATGCCACGTCTAAGTGAAGCCAACCGTCATATCGCCATTGGTTTGCTTGAAGCTGGCCAGTCTCAACGTGCAGTTGCCCGACGCATGAATGTTCACAAAAGCACCATTTCACGGCTCTGGGAGATATATCGCCGGCAGAATTCGGTAGCAGATGCCCCTCGTAGTGGACGAACTCGAGCGATAACTGCGGCGCAGGATCGGTACATCCGGGTACATCTCCTGCGTCATCGAACAGCTACGGCGACCAGTACCGCTCGACAAATACCCGGATTGAGGAGGCTTTCTGCACAGACCGGTTGAGAGAGGCTGGTTTACGTACCAGAAGACCTTATTTTGGCCCTGTGCTTCAACAACATCGTCGACATCGAGTTCAATGGTGCATCAACGTTCAGGCCTGGAACCTACCGAATTGGCGTAGAATATGGTTCAGTGATGAATCACGATTTCTATTGGAACGACGCGATGGAAGAATGCGGGTGTACAGACGTCGACGTGAACGTTTCGCCGACGCTTGCGTTCCCCAGGTGGACAGATTTGGCCGGAACAGTGTTATGGTGTGGGGAGCAATCACCTGCCGTAGGAGAAGTGATTTGGTGATGTCCCAGGGCAACCTGACAGCTCAACGGTACTGTGACGAAATCCTACGCCCACACCTCCTTCCAATCATTGATCGCCAGAGGGAGTTGTTTCAACAGGACAATGCCAGGCCCCACACAGCACGTCACACTAGAGACTTCCTCCAGAACCACAACATCAATGTGCTCCCCTGGCCCTCAAGACCACCGGACTTAAACCCGATCGAACATCTGTGGGATGCCCTGGACAGACGGGTGCGACGCCGTAACCCTCAGCCCCAGACACTTCAGCAACTCGCACAGGCACTACATGCAGAGTGGGCTGCGATTGGGCAACACGAGATTCTGAGACTTATTCGTTCGATGCCGAGGCGATGCCGTGCAGTTCTGGATGCCCACGGTGGTCACACGAGGTATTGACTTCAGCGCCACCATACGTCTCCATGTGACACTCAAACTGACTTTCCTCGAGTTGGTGCCAAAGACGGATAAGTCTGCATTCCCAGTGTGCAATTTCGCTATATTTCATTGACTCATAAAGCCTACAAGATGTTTCAAAATAAACATAAAAATACAGTTGAAATTCCTATATGCGTTTCTTTTTTGGGAGAGTATAGTTTGACATGGGCACTCATATAATATCCTCTATTTACTACCTACAAGGGCGAACATATCGGGGTTCATTTTTCATACGATGCCCTAGTGCAAAATATCACTTTGTCATGGTGACGTGATGTCATGAACAATGCTATGACGTCACGTTTCTTCTGTGACGTTACATGCGGCGATGGCGGGTAGCCAGCCTATGTTTTAAAGTAGATTTTGGTTATTTTCCTCAATTTGACGACTTTGGTAATAAAAAGAATATTATATTCGTGCCCATATCATACTATGTTTACGACACTCGTGCCTAAATATCAGTATATCCCTCGCTCTCGCTCGGGAAATATCAACATTTAGGCACTCTTATGTCGTAAACATAGTATGACATGGGCACTCATATAATATCCTCTATTTATTTTCCTCAATTTGATGACTTCGGTAATAAACAGAATATTATATTCGTGCCTATATCATACTATGTTTACGACACTCGTGCCTAATTAATTCTTTCTCGCTCTCGCTCGGGAAATACCAACATATGCGGCTGGCAGGCCCTTGTATCGTTGCTTAATACTAGCATTTAAGGTCATTTCAAAACCTCATATCAGGTTAAATAACGACCATTTCAAAACCTGGGTTTAGAAATGATCGACGCAAAGTCACGGCAGAGGTCTACCCGATTCTGGAAGGAACCTACTTTACTGCAGAGAAAATCGGAGATAGGTTTATAAAATACAAATCAATTAATATTTGAAACTGAGAAATGCACAACATTCTATATAGCTTTACACTTGTGTACATGATCTATACTTGTAATATAGAGAGAGCTTGCATGCAACGTGTGATATACCTACTTGGGTTATCGCTCAAAATTAGACTTATAACTTTTTCATATATCCTTCGTACGTAAGACCAGGGATACTCTACAACATAAAGTCTCCCTGGTAAGACTAGGTTCACAGCTGAGCAAAGTTGCTCTATTTTATAATACTGAGCCTAAGTTTACTTAGACTGACTCAAGCAGTTGATTTCAAGGACCGTTTCTATTTATGAAGGCGGTTATTTTGTGTTAAATGTTTAAAATAATATTGTGAACAAATAAATCGAGAAAACATAAAGTTTATATTTATGTATCAAATTAGTTTATCTCAAATGAATTTCTGAATGAGACGTTAAAATTGAATAAATTCCTCTAGGACAAAATAGCTGTTGTCGCTTTTCCGAGATGAGCAAATACAACATTGCGCTTCCGAATGAATCTATAACTCCGCACACCAACGGCACTGTGTGGAGTATACTTGCCGGGAAAATGGCTGAATTCAACGTGAAATTTGTTGGGCAGAAATTAAGTAAAATTCGATGGCGACCTACGCAATCACAGTCCATTATACAATCTGATGTATTTGCCACGGGGAGCTGGGACGATGAGGTAAAGTATTTGGTGTTGAATTATCTCTTCAGGTATTGACTTGTCGTCTGGCATCAAATTGGAGTTCGCAGTGTGATTGTGAAATAATTTGTGAACTAGCTTGTAATACAATAATACAGATTCACTGTCTATGTCACTGTGTATAATATGTGGCTTTGGAGAAACTGGGCACGCAGATGTGGGACGGACTCCTGCTGATTAGATATGTCTTTGTCTCGTGAAGTTGACGAGTCACTGAAGTGATTCAAGCCGGGAGCCGCGATGGGGTCTACAGTCAAGACATGACCCTGCATCATATGTGTTGACTGTAGGACCCCATCGCGGCTCTCGACAAGAGAGATTCCTAAAGTTTAGGCTAAACGGGATACCTACGGGAGTTTTTATACACATGATTTGTATGGCAAAACAAGAAATATTGTCAATGTCTTGTATACATATTTCAACCATCAATTGACGTTAGAACTTATAAAAATCACCTGAACATTTTCTTGAATATAATGTGAAATAACACTTTTCAAGGAAAGCTATCGTTTCAAAGGCAGAATCAGTGGGAAGAAGAGGATGGGGTGCTATATGAATCCTTTTCTGAATCCTGCTCATAAATTTGGATAATGTACAGCATCCTAGCTTAGGTTCAGATACAGAAGCAAATACAAGTTCACCTCATGAACACCTGATTGTTTAAAACATGCCTTGTATATAGTAAACCTATCGCTGGCACATATTTATTGGATGGATATCATCAATCTTTTTTTATAGGGTGGATTGAATTTATCAGTATGAGATTTTACGTGGTGTTATCTTCTTTACCCGTGAAGATCCGGGTTAGAATGAACCTTCATTCAGTAACCCATGCTTGTCGTAAGAGGCGACTAACGGGATCGGGTGATCAGGCTCGTTGACACATGTAATCGGTTCCCAATTGCGCAGATAGATGCTCATGCTGTTGATCACTGAATTGTCTGGTCAAGACTCAATTATTTACAGACTGATGCCATATAGCTGGAATATTGCTGAGTGCGGCGTAAAACTAAACTCACTGACTGTTATCGTCTTTGTTTAACCCAGGACAACAAGATCCGCTTGTGGAGTTTGGAGCAACTCAGTCGTGATGACAGGGAGGGTCCTGGCAGTGTGCTGGACAGTGAGCCACATGAGTTGTGTAGCGTCACACAGAGGGGTGACGTCACAGATCTTAGTGTAAGTTGTGTGATGTAACAGTACTAACACAGATGGGTGACGTCACAGATCTTAGTGTAAGTTGTGTGATGTAACACAGATGGGTGATGTCACAGATCTTAGCGTAAGTTGTGTGATGTAAGTTACACAGATGGGTGACGTCACAGATCTTAGTGTAAGTTGTGTGATGTAACACAGGGGGTGACGTCACAGATCTTAGTGTAAGTTGTGTAAGTTGTATGATTTAATGTAGAGTTGTGACGTCATTTGTGTGTGCATTGTGTCTTGTCACCCAAAGAAAAAGTGTAACTTGTGCCCTTTATACAGAAGGTTCATGTCACATACCACAGTGTGTGTGGTGTGTCACACAGAGTGCTGACGTCTCAGGTGTCAGTGAGAGGTGTGATAGAACATGAGATAACCTCTACAGTATCACACAGATGCTTAGTATTTATATGCCACTTCCTTTTACCACACATAAAGTCCTATTATATATTTCAGTTTGTGACATTGAAAAGAGGGTGTTTTTCATTAAGATGAAATGTTGTTAAGTAGGGTATCATGTATGATATATTTTACCACACAGAACAATTTGTATATTTCAGTTTATAACAAATGACCACATAGCAGCAGCTTCATCAACTGGAAATGTATCAGTATATCGCCACCATCTCAACTCACAGGTATACCCATCAATCTCTCAAAGTATTCATATATTGGATTGGTGTACATGGCACCAAATCTCAACTCAAATCTAAGAACTGTCTCTATGTATGACGAAGGGGCAATGAATAGCCCAGAAACGTTGTGACATACAATAAAGAAGGTGTCATCCATAATATTTGAGTTTTACTTGAACACCAACTTCTATATGCCTCTCAAGAACCTTGTCTCTATGTATATTTTTTATTGGGATGACTAGTGTTTTGCAAACCCCCATTGTGTTAATCATTCAAACCCACTTTCTTTGCAATCAAATAAATAATGCAAGATACTTGTTTCAATTGTCTGTATAACACCGTCACCAGCAAAGTGAACATGACACTTTCAGACCCTGAGTGTGGCCCACAGCTGGGATGATGTCCATCATCTGGCAGCAGGGTCTTGTTCCTGCACATGTCTAACAACTAAGGGAGACGATGTAGTTGTGTCAGGTGGAGAGGACGGAAGGATTATCGTTCTTAATGTTAACCGGAGGCAACCAGAGAGAGTGATTGGTAAGATAAAATGTTACAGTATTGATGACATTGACATTTTTGAGTTGATAATATCATGTGTATAGGATTCAAGTAAATTATTGGTAATCTTATATAGTCATTCTTATATTTTGAAGTGCATCATTGGAGTATTGAAATTGTCATGGTTATAGGATTAAAGTAAGACATCTTTGAAGTGATATTATGGTTATAGGATTGAAATCCTTCGTGACTATATATTGCAGTCTTTGTGTGCGGTGTTGGAGAGTTGATCTTGTTCTGGAGAGTTTAGTGCATGTTTGTAATTTGAGTGAATCTCATTGGTTTGCTGGGGCGGTGGGGTAGCCTAGTGGTTAAAGCGTTGGCTCGTCACGCCGAAGACCCACATGGGTACAATGTGTGAAGCCCATTTCTGGTGTCCCCCGCCGTGATGTTGCTGGAATATTGCTAAAAGCGGCATAAAACCAAACTCAGTCAGTCAGTCATTGGTTTGCTTGTACTTCTGTGTTTGTTTACTTTGTTTTATTTATGTTTCAGATTCTGCTGACAGTTGTACTATAAATGCCATCACATTTCTAAAACAAACCGAGGTTATCACAGTCAATTCCTTCGGACAGTTGAAGATATTTGACTTCCGACAGAACACAGCAGTTCCAACAAGAACCTATACAGTGTACGAATTCAGCTTTGAACTGAATAAATAGTTCTATTTAATCTGCGTTGTAGTAACCTTTCTAAAATTTGTTTCTCTAAATAATTGAGTTTCTTTGAAATGTGAACTTTTAATCAATGTTTATTAAGTCTTATTGAACTTGACTCGACATCAAGAATATTATGAATGGGTGGGACTGATCCACCACTTTCCTATTTAAGTGTATCCCAATTGTTTAGATCGATGCTCATGCTGTTGTTCACTGGATTGTCTGGTCGATTATTTACAGACAGAGAGCGCCATATAGCTGGAATATTGCTGCATTAAACAACAAACCAACATATTTAAGTGCTCCAGCCCCATTCAGTAGTTTTAGTTGTATACCTGTATTTATGTTTCAGGACAGAAGAACACAGCTCATTGCAGTGTGTAGCGAAACATCCCGGTCAGGCTCACATTGTAGCCACAGGGGGCCAGGACGGGATGCTGACAATCTGGGACCTTCGTCAGGACAAGTTTCCCATGACATTACTGGAGGCTCACAGTGCTACCAGTAAGTTGACATGACATTACTAGAGTGAATTAATATTTAACGTCACATCGGCAATATCGCAGCCATATCGTGAGACATTACTAGATTGTTTCTGGGATGGCATGGATTTGTGTCATCATTCGCTTGATTGTCCTAAGCTATCTACAGAGCATCATCTTGAAAACTGCTGAATCAACAAAATGTTTATGATGTGTCATTGCAGTGTGGGAGGTGAAGTTCCACCCCCACAACCCAGACCATCTGTTCACCTGCTCCGATGATGGCTCAGTCTGGCACTGGGATGGGACGTCAGTCAGGGGCAACACATCCACGTCATCGTTCATGTCAGGTATGTTGTAGTCAGGGGCAACACATCCACGTCATCGTTCATGTCAGGTATGTTGTAGTCAGGGGCACCCAAGTCCACATCCACGCCATCGTTCATGTCAGGTATGTTGTAGTCAGGGGCAACACATCCACGCCATCGTTTGTGTCAGGTATATTCACTACCCAAGTAGTCAGGGGCAACACATCCACGCCATCCCAAGTTTGTGTCAGGTATGTTGTAGTCAGGGTCAACACATCCACGTCATCGTTTGTGTCAGGTATGTTGTAGTCAGGGGCAACACATCCACGTCATCGTTTGTGTCAGGTATGTTGTAGTCAGGGGCAACACATCCACGTCATCGTTTGTGTCAGGTATGTTGTAGTCAGGGGCAACACATCCACGCATCATCGTTTTGTGTCAGGTAGGTAGGGTGTTGTTTGTGTCAGGTATGTTGTAGTCAGGGGCAACACATCCACGTCATCGTTTGTGTCAGGTATGTTGTAGTCAGGGGCAACACATCCATCGTTTGTGTCAGGTATGTTGTAGTCAGGGGCAACACATCCATCGTTTGTGGTAGGTTGTTTGTAGTCAGGGGTAACTCATCCATATCATCTTTTGTATCATGAATTTTGTTAGGAGCATATTTTTAGAAGCAGTACGTCCACATTATTTCTAACTCATGTGAAAAAAGTATCTTCTATGATTTGTCCCAGCAATGTATTTTTTTTTCCCCACAGGGTTACGAGGAGAGAGTGCCGGCAGCACTGGACACATCAGCTCGTGGCTGAACCTGGACTCAGGCCGGCAGAAGCTCGAGATTACATCCCTCCTCCCCACCAGGTCACTGCCTGTCAACTCCCTTGACATTGACCGTGACACCCTCCTGTGTGGTACAGACAGCGAGACCCTCTACACAATCTCCCTGCCAGGCTTGGTGTAGATCCCGTCACTTTCCCATTCCCTACCCTCATTACACTACCCACTTCTCGCTACCCAAGTCCATACCCAAATCTCACTACCCAAGTTCATACCTCCATCTCACTACCCAAGTCCTTACCCACATCTCACTACCCAAGTTCATACCTCCATCTCACTTCCCAAGTCCCTACCCACATCTCACTACCCAAGTTCATACCTCCATCTCACTTCCCAAGTCCCTACCCAAATCTCACTACCCAAGTTCATACCTCCATCTCACTTCCCAAGTCCCTACCCACATCTCACTACCCAAGTTCATACCTCCATCTCACTTCCCAAGTCCCTACCCACATCTCACTACCCAAGTCCCTACCCACATCTCACTACCCAAGTCCCTATCCACATCTCATTACCTAAGTCCCTACCCACATCTCGCTACCCAAGTCCATGACCAAATCTCACTACCCAAGTTCATACCCCCATCTCACTACCCAAGTCCCTACCCCCATCTCACTACGTAAGTCCCTACCTCCATCTCACTATTCAAGTCCCTACCCACATCTCACTACCCAAGTCCCTACCCACATCTCGCTACCCAAGTCCATACCCACATCTCACTACCCAAGTCCATACCTCCATATCACTACCCATGTTCATACCCAAATCTCACTACCCAAGTCCCTACCCACGTCTCGCTACCCAAGTCCATACCCAAATCTCACTACCCAAGTTCATACCTCCATCTCACTACCCAAGTCCCTACCCACATCTCACTACCCAAGTTCATACCTCCATCTCACTTCCCAAGTCCCTACCCCCATCTCACTACCCAAGTCCCTACCCACATCTCACTACCCAAGTCCCTACCCACATCTCACTACCCAAGTCCCTACCCACATCTCGCTACCCAAGTCCATACCCATATTTCACCACCCAAGTTCATACCTCCATATCACTACCCATGTTCATACCTCCATCTCACTACCCAAGTCCATACCCACATCTCACTACCCAAGTTCATACCTCCATCTCACTACCCAAGTCCCTACCCACATCTCACTACCCAAGTCCCTACCTCCATCTCACTACCCAAGTCCCTACCCCATCTCACTACCCAAGTCCATGACCAAATCTCACTACCCAAGTCCCTACCCCCATCTCACTACCCAAGTCCATACCCACATCTCGCTACCCAAGTCCATACCCACATCTCGCTACCCAAGTCCATGACCAAATCTCACTACCCAAGTTCATACCTCCATCTCACTACCCAAGTCCCTACCCCCATCTCACTACCCAAGTCCCTACCCACATCTCACTACCCAAGTCCATACCCAAATTTCACCACCAAAGTTCATACCTCCATCTCACTACCCATGTTCATACCCAAATCTCACTACCCAAGTCCCTACCCCCATCTCACTACCCAAGTCCCTACCATCTCGCTACCCAAGTCCCTACCCCCATCACTACCCAAGTCCCTACCCCCATCTCGCTACCCAAGTCCCTACCCACATCTCATTACCCAAGTCCCTACCCCCATCTCACTACCCAAGTCCATACCCACATCTCACTACCCAAGTCCCTACCCACATCTCGCTACCCAAGTCCCTACCCACATCTCGCTACCCCTGTCTCACTACCCAAGTCCATACCCCCATGTCATTGCCTGTACCCTAGCCCAACCTTTATTTCATGACATCCTCCCACTGCCCCAGTTCATGGCTGTCATGTGTAGGCTATATGTGAGCTCATGATGTGTTATATGTATATGATCAACTGCTACAATAAATGTTTCAAGTATCAACCAATGCCTGGTCATATTTCAGTAAATGTCTTGTTATGGATCTTTCATATATATCTATGAAGACAAAAGTAAAGTAGCCATGCAATGTTTGCCCTTAACACTGAAAAGCTGCAGACCCTGAGGACCCAGAACCATAAAACGTTGTGGGTGTTAAAGCCTACATATGACTAGTGCCAGGGGGCAGAGATAGGGTTAGCCTAGCCTAGTGGGTGTTAAGGCCTACATATGACTAGTGCCAGGGGGCAGAGATAGGGTTAGCCTAGCCTAGTGGGTGTTAAGGCCTACATATGACTAGTGCCAGGGGGCAGAGATAGGGTTAGCCTAGCCTAGTGGGTGTTAAGGCCTACATATGACTAGTGCCAGGGGACAGATATAGGGTTAGCCTAGCCTAGTGGGTGTTAAGGCCTACATATGACTAGTGCCAGGGGACAGAGATAGGGTTAGCCTAGCCTAGTGGGTGTTAAGGCCTACATATGACTAGTGCCAGGGGCAGAGATAGGGTTAGCCAGCTAGTGGGTGTTAAGGCCTACATATGACTAGTGCCAGGGGGGCAGAGATAGGGTTAGCCTAGCCTAGTGGGTGTTAAGCCTAGCCTAGCCAGGCCTGCATATGGAGATAGGGTTAGCCTAGCCTAGTGGGTGTTAAGGCCTACATATGACTAGTGCCAGGGGGCAGAGATAGGGTTAGCCTAGCCTAGTGGGTGTTAAGGCCTACATATGACTAGTGCCAGGGGACAGATATAGGGTTAGCCTAGCCTAGTGGGTGTTAAAGGCCTACATATGACTAGTGGGGTTAAGGCCTACATATGACTAGTGCCAGGGGGGCAGAGATAGGGTTAGCCCTAGCCTAGTGGTTAAAGGCCTACATGTTAAGGCCCTAGGGTTATGACTAGTGCCAGGGGGCAGGGGACAGATATAGGGTTAGCCCTAGCCTAGTGGGTGTTAAGGCCTACATATGACTAGTGCCAGGGGGCAGAGATAGGGTTAGCCTAGCCTAGTGGGTGTTAAGGCCTACATATGACTAGTGCCAGGGGGCAGAGATAGGGTTAGCCTAGCCTAGTGGGTGTTAAGGCCTACATATGACTAGTGCCAGGGGGCAGAGATAGGGTTAGCCTAGCCTAGTGGGTGTTAAGGCCTACATATGACTAGTGCCAGGGGGCAGAGATAGGGTTAGCCTAGCCTAGCCTAGTGGTTAAGGCATTTGCTTGCGTGAAAAAAAGGTTCAATTTCCCACATGGGTACAATGTGTGAATCCCATTTCTGGTGTCTGTGGTATTGCCGGAATATTGCTAAAAGTGGTGTAAAACCATACTGACTCACTACTGGTGCCACGGCACTGGAGCTAAATCGTGTCTTTGTTTGACAGCTGGGTACATGTTAGTTTCTGCACCATAAGTTTGGAAACGCCCATGTGCTAAAAGGGTCACAGAGTTTCGACATATTTTGTAAGACGTTTCCAAGTAGTGCACATTTACTCATTAATGTGTAGCATTTATAGTTCCTGCCAAAAGTATGTGATTTGTATTCAACACTACTCTGAAGGCATCTATATGGATACGACAGGTGGTTGTTCAAACAAGTAAAGAATGTCCCACCTCCAGTCATCAGACACTACATTGTGATGAACGTTCTTGACATCAGTATCAGAAACAGTTTACGAAGCTAAAGGATAGAGGATCAGATAAACACTGACCAAAATTTGCACAAAATATTAAATCTGCAGATGGCAAAAGCCGTTGATTTCTGTATAAATACCATAAGGCTCTTTTGTGTTGTGGTGAATCATATCTGTTAAGTGTGAAAGGGGAGGCGGTCTTGTCTTGTGGTTAAAGAACCGGAAACGTCAAAGACCCAAACCCAGTTCAATTATCCACGTGGGAACTATATCTGATGCCCTTTACTCGAGCTCCCTGTCGTGCTATTGTTGGAATATTGCTAAAAACAGCGTAAAACCATACTCAGAAGAACAGAACAATTCCTCGCCAATATCAGAATTTAGCATTATCATTGTATAATTGTTCTGACTGACGATGCTCATAGTTCATAAATGTAAGACCGCCTCCGTGGTGTAGTGGTTAGAGCGTCCGTCCGGAGAGCGGAAGGTCGCGGGTTCGATTCCCGACCGCGTCATACCAAAAGACGTTAAAATATGGTACTAGTTGGTCCCTGCATGGCGCTCTGCATTAATGGGTACAACAAGGACTGGTCGGCTCGGAGTCAGTATAATGTGTCTGAGTGGGGTATTCATGCTTCACTGCGGCATAGGTATCTCAGTGAGCTAGCACTCATAAAACCAGCTTCAGTCTGGGCTAGTACAAGCAGCCGCACATACACTTACACACGCATGCACGTCGTCATATGAGCGAAATATTCTCAAGCACGACGTAAAACCCAATTTCACCTCACCTCACCTCACCTCACCTCACCTCATAAATGTAAGCAATGTAATGTTTGTGACGATGAAACACGTAGTTATTAATTGCCTGCTTTATGACCCAGATAGGACAATGTTTTCCCCAAGTGTCAACAACAAAAAACATTACTTGGAAATTCTTTCAATCAACTAACCCGATATTTTGATAACTTTCATATCATCGTGGGTAGTATCAACTGAAAATAACTGCACATGTATTACATTTCTATTAATGATCTCATGGCCATAGATACAAAGTAATTTTCTTGTATCATACATCTCTTACAACTGGCGTCTCTATCTGAGTATTGAAAATCGCGCACGAGCTACCTTGATCTCAGGAAATTGCATTACTTAGCTTACATAGCTTGTGTTTAAACGTTTGTTGGTTGTTAAAGGCCACGCTCAGCAATTGTCCAGCTAAGTGACTGCGATCTGAAAATATTCCAGTCTGGGCCAGGCAATCATGTGATCAACACAACGAGCATCGATCAGTTGGGATGCGATTATGCGCATCAACCAAGTTAACGAGCCTGACCACCCGATCCCGTAAAAAAGAGACCATAGGGCCCAGAGCCCCGTTTTAAAAAGCTGTCGTGAGCCTACGATATCATCTCGTAACTGTCCTCGTAGCCTTCCTTCCTCCAATGCTGTAACATTGACTTAGGTTAGACGTAGCGCTACGAGAGCTTTGTGAAAAGGGGCCCAGGTTATAAGATTCCCAACAAAATATTCTGGTGGGCGACTCAACCGATCGGGTCCTCAGGCTTTGTTGAAATCGTGTCATTGTATCCCGATGGTGTGGCTTGTAGCTCATGATATCATCCACAAGATATTCTGCTAGAGACTCCATTATACAAAACAGGTTGCCTGTTGCTCGGTGCCGCGTTCAACAACAAACAAAATGTAGGATGGGTTCTGTTGGTCTCCGTTCTCGACGTCCAACACAGAAGCTCATTTGCTATGGCGCAAACGCCAACCACATAGGAATGAAATGAGAAGATTTTAATGTCCAGTTCCATGATGGCGTATTGAACATTTCAGAGTGCTGCTTCAGTTGCGTTAACTGGATTTCGTGGTGTTTCGATAATTGTCTGGGGTCGTATACTGGAAGCTCACAGATGCACGTTGTTGGGAATCTCAACACAAAAAAACACTGCAGAGATGAATTTTGGCTCAAATAGTTGTACAGTTCATTATGGCTATGCATCACTGTAAAGCTGCCCCGATTCTTTAGGACGATTACCTTGGAAATGTCCGAGGACGGAGTGGTTATAAATGTCTAAGATGAGCCTTGGTGTCGTGTGTATATAGACAAGCCACCCTGTGCTACATGATCTTGTTAGTGTGCGGGGCGGTGGGGTAGCCTAATGGTTAAAGCGTTGGCTCGTCACGCCGAAGACCCGGGTTCGAATCCCCACATGGGTACAATTTTTGAAGCCCATTTCTGGTGTCCCCCGCCGTGATGATGCTGGAATATTGCTAAAAGCGGCGTAAAACCAAACTCAGTCAGTCAGTCAGTGTTAGTGTGCTGTGTGAACCTTGTGAAGGGCATGAGGCCAAAGCGACCCGAAACAGTGCTGGTTACACAGGATACTGACTCCAACGTCTTTAGGTGGCATTTAGAAGCTGGTGTGATGAAGAGGAACACTTTTATGGGGAGACAACTGCTTTATTGCAATAGATCGGGTGTTTGATAACGGTGTATGATAACGGTGTTTGATAACGGTGTTTGATAACGGTGTTTGATAACGGTGTATGATAACGGTGTTTGATAACGGTGTTTGATAACGGTGTTTGATAACGGTGTATGATAACGGTGTTTGATAACGGTGTGTGATAACGGTGTTTGATAACGGTGTTTGATAACGGTGTATGATTTGATAACAAAACGATAACGGTGTTTGGATCTACACCATAACGTCGCATCTAATGCAATAAAGCAATTGATAACGGTGTTTCTCCATAAAGACCGGTGTTTGATAGGGTAGACGGTGGTAGAATAGGTCTTCAGCAACCCATTCTTGTCATAAAAGGCGACTATGCTTGTCGTAAAAGGCGACTAACGGGATCGGGTGGTCAGGCTCGCTGACTTGGTTGACACATGTCATCTGTTCCCAATTGCGCAGATCGATGCTCATGCTGTTGATCACTGGATTGACTGGTCCAGACACGATTATTTACAGACCGCCGCCATATAGCTGGAATATTGCTGAGTGCGGCGTAAAACTAAACTCACTCACTCACTCTCTCCATAAAAGTGTTCCTCTTCTACTGACTCCAACTCCTGAAGTGTGACAGCAATCAGCCTCATCACTATGTTGAGTCACACAATTAAAAGTAATCCAATGGATTCATATTGACTTTATGGCTGTTCCTTTCTACTAAACTAGGATCTGAAATATATTGATTCATTGACTACAGGTAACCACTCGCTTATAAAATATTGGACGTGCAACCCTACACACGCCCCCTCTGGAGGTTACAGGCCGGGAAAGCCACATTTCAAAAACAGACAACCAAATTTGATGTGGCTCTCCCGGCTATAGCTATGGCTGCGTGAGAGTGGAATGTGGCTCTCACGGCTATGCTGTCGAAACATGCTTAGTGATTCAGGTTACCGTACTTAACTTCAGCTTCTTTATTCTCATAAAACCACCATCGGTGGTACAAGAGCAAAGAATATACAATATTTACTGACTGACTGAGTTTGGTTTTACGCCGCTTTTAGCAATATTCCAGCAATATCACGGCGGGGGACACCAGAAATGGGCTTCACACATTGTACCCATGTGGGGATTCGAACCCGGGTCTTCGGCGTGACGAGCCAACGCTTTAACCACTAGGCTACCCCACCGCCCCTACAATATTTACATATGTACATAAACATAAACATGCGTCATGATGATGAGTTATTTACGGAACAATTTATACAAGTGAGAGATAAAAAGTGATAAACATTTGCTCACTTTAAAATTGACAGGCGACATGACCTTGTTAAGTGTTGATAAATTTGCCCAATTGTGATATTTTGGGGGATGAATGATTTTCTGTAGGAATTAAGTGACGTACATTTAAAAAGATAATGGAATTCGTCACCAACTAAATTACAGTTACATAGTTTACGTAATCTTTCTTCTCTCGGTATGTTCTGCCATCTCCATGTTTCCTCATAATTTTATTCAGATCCCGTCTGGGGTCTCGACAGCGAATAGTCACGTCCATCCATCTCAATGCCTCTCAGTCAAGAGACACACATTTTAGACCCTTTTACATCACAATGTGTGTCTTTTCACGTTAAAAGTCCTTATCCAGCAAGATGTAAATAACTTCATCCAAGACACAAAAGGTTCTAATTAATAAATTAAGGCTGTAGGTGAATTCGTAGACCAGACTGGTTCGTAGACGTCGAAATCCGGTGGATTCGTAGGCGGATTGAGCTGTGGATTCGTGGACGTTAGTAAAATGGGGAAACTTCAACATCATTGATGACGAAAATCGATATAATGACTTTAGTATAAAATAATAGTACTCTGTATTATATTTTACTGATGACTGCATCAGAATTCATCCCGTTATATTATTGTGCATGTTTGAACTTGTTCGCCGTGAAACGTGTGCACAGCTGATTTAGCTATTTCCGGCTCAAATACACACGGTAATCTTAATCTTAATTAATTTATGGAGCAAAAACTGTCATTAAAATTGCATAAAATTGCACAATGCTAGGATATATTTCTTTGGGTTAAATAATTATTCTGTATCATATTGCAGAAATCGTCCCGTTATATTATTGTGCATGTTTGAACTTGATCGCCGGGAGACGTGTGCACAGCTGATTGCTATTTCCGGATCAAATACACACGGTAATCTTAATCCCTGCAAATAATACAATACAATACTAGAAAACATCAATTATCAACATTCAACAACGCAGACTTACTAATTAACATCCACTACAACTTAGTGCAACCTGAGTATACAAATTTATATTAATCCGCCGACAAACACAAAATACTATATATTATTCAATTATTTATACACGTCTACGAACCAGTCTGGGCTACGAATCCACCGCGTCTACACCCGAGAGGAGATCCTTTCATATCAGATCCCCATGAAAACACGGGCGTTGATATAGAGACATAGAAAGTTTACATCCGGAATTATGGGTATTCAGAGAGACAGACGTTTAAGATCGTATAAGGTATGTACATAAAATTGTTGATAAAGCGTGTTTAAAATTTTATAAACGTTGAAGAATATGTTTGTCACATATTCCAAATTATCAGTTAAACAGCACTGGCATACTTACTGTCATGCATACTTCTGCATAAATACTCACGCAGTTTATATTGAAACTTGGGGCGACGGGGTAGCCTAGTGGTGAAAGCGTTCGCTCGTCGCTGAAGCCGAAGACCCAGGTTCGATTCCCTCCATGGGTACAATGTGTGAAGCCCATTTCTGGTGTCCCCCTGCCGTGATATTGCTGGAATATTGCTAAAAGCTAAACTAAACTCACTCACTCACTATATTGAAAATTGCCATTGTAGATTTTTTCTCTCCATTTTCCACTGTCCCGTATATAGTTATGATTCGACCAGACTGACATTTAGTCCGAGAAATAAAATATATAATGTTATTGTATTTCTAAATATATCATATATTTGGGGAGATACACAAATGTCCCATACGCTGAACAACTATGTAAATATTGTATAGGAAGGAAAAGGAAGATCCTTTATTGAAGGTGAATTTGATATATTTCTTGTTTGTGAGGGTTAAACAACCCTAAGAAATGTGTATCTAAACAGTATACCAATTCCACATTGTAACATCTTTTATCGAAATTCTTTCATCTGAAAATGTTGATGCTGTATATAACTTATGTCTTTAATTACTTCATGCGTGATTCATGCAACCAAACATTGTCTGTATTAAAGGCATGTATAGCCTTTTTACTGAATAAATATTAACTGTCTGTCAAAATATATCACAAAAATGTATATAAAAACAAATCCGAAGGAACATTCCTTAATCTTCCCCGACCATTGGCAGCTTAGACTTTTATTTGCAGTAGTTTAAACTAATACTAAACACATCATACACAAAAACATCATATAAACATTTTCAATCAGGCACAGATCTGTATGTAAACAATATTTCCAATATCTGAAATTAAAGGCTTTCGTGCTTTCACAGTATATGTTAATAGTCGTAAGGAATATCTTCTTCACGGAAACGTGTTATCGAAAGGAAAGTACACTCTTCGGCAATTTCATTGAGTCCTGAGTTTAAAAATCAAGGTTTTGAGACCTCTATGACGCCAAATTGCTGGTGTATGAACTCGTCTGACTCCAGTTCGAACCCTCACTGGAAGCGGAATCAGCCGTGCAAACCGGAAAGATGCTTCTATAAATTGACCGGACTTCCGTCTAGCAAATGAGTTAGCGCATAACTATTCCCGCATACAAACAGCGATACCAGTTTATATATTTCAGGTGCTCGAACATGTTAATGGTTGTCAGGAAGCTACGATAAAAACAGAGCCTAAGCTCCTCGCATCGGTATTTCATGCTCTTTGGTCTCAAGTTAGAGCAAAGCAAAATCGTTACGCGTTGTAATGAGTTTGGTCAAATAGTTTAAGAGTTAGTTGTTACTGAGTGTGAGCAAGTGATATTTATGTACCCTATTCTTCAAGCTTACTGAATATCTACACGACAACTAGAAGACAAAGTATGTATAACTTCATTTTTGAAAGAGTAACGAAAGGAATGAATCTTCATGTGATGTGCCCGTGCCCCCAGAAAACAACTTCACACATTTATGACGACGGTCTGGGAAACATTCAAACTCAGTTACAGTTATCGGACGACCAAGGATCCAAACTTCTGCATAAAATGTCATTTTTCTGAATTCTATAACTATTGGTCCTATTAAGTTCGATATATCGTGATTGGCTTGACTCAAGCAATTGTTAGGTATCTCGTTACAAATGAGACTCGAAATTTTAAATGGGACAAAAATTGCAACTATCTCATCAGTCTCGTTTTCAGACAATGGTTTATGAATCTCATTTGTAATCATGGTGATAGACCATAGAATGTTATTTTCACAGTAACATTATTGCAGAAATAGTAACTAGCCTGAGAGCTGTGTTTGGGATCACAGTTCTCGGCTAAGATAGTAATTAGCACTACCCCACAAACCAAGACTATTTCTCTTAAACATGCTGAATGTTAAAGAGAAGCAAAACGTTACTTTATAAGTGTCAAAATGGAACAGTTGTTTGTAATATAGACCCTTGTGGAAAGCAAAAGTTGCGTATTATGGACTACAATACTTGTGTGCAACCCTGTTTTCATTGTGCTGTGCGAAGCAGCACCTGTCAGATGACAAAAATAGAAATGTGACGGACAGTTTTTTCAGTAAAAAGGCCATAGTCCCATAATACATGCAATGTTTGGTTGCCAGATTTACCTGGCTTTCAACAAGGCATTCCCTTGCTGGCCCCAAACCCAGATCAGTGTGTGATGGACACTTATTGGCGTCTGGTGATTACACAGGTTAATTAACATTGCGTTGACTAATAGTTGGAGTCTTGTTTAACTTTAGGGTACCCTAAGGATAGATGGTAGTTAAATTATGCATATGTTCACCATTGAACTAGTGGACCGTTTATTTCTTTTTGTTGATTTCTACCAGCTCCTTGTAATGTTTCAGATGAGTGCCAGTTTATCGGACATCAGTGAGAACACCAAGATGGGGCGTGAGAGTGCGTTGCTTGGAAATTATGAAACCTCGCTGGTGTACTACCAGGGTGTGATCCAGCAGATACAACGCCTTGTACAGACTATAAAGGATTCTGTGCGAAAAGAAAAATGGCAGCAGGTATTGAACAGCAAAGAGCAAACATTTCAATCTTCTCTAAACATCTTTTCATGATGTATCAAGTTTAAAGTTTGTTTTTCAAGTTTGTAACAGCTTTTGTAATAGTTTATAACAGTTTTTATAATAGTATTTGGATTAGGCATATCAAGGGCCTGCTCTACCTAGGCTACATTATGAAGGTATGTCTAATACTAAAACTCATACTCACAATATGAGGCATTTTGAATCATGAGTGGGGAAATTCAGTGCTGAGTATGGATTAATTTTTGCATTCTGTAAGCATACCAAAAAACTGGTGCAATAAATGACAGAGAATCCATAATGACCTGGAAGGATATACAAATATATTTTAGTCTAATGCTTGACTATTTTCTACTTTTCTAATACTTGTACTGGTAGTTTGTTTCTTTTTGGGAATTCCATATCTGTGTTTAACTAATAGGTATTGATCGGTCTGTAAATGCTTGAGTGTGTGCTTCAAGCTTCAAATCATGGCAAATCAACAAAATTTACAATAGCTTTTTTTTGGTCAAAATCCGTTGCAATTTCAGGTGCAAAAAGGGGTAAAAGTTATGAAAGATCTGTGTAATTTTTCAATGAACATTCTAAACATCATTTGAATAATTGTTTACATCTTTTGTCAACATTTTTATATAGCTTGGGACCCCCAATTTGTAACTAAGAACCCCAACATTTAAAGCCTTTGAGTCACCTGGACTCCAAAATTTTATGTCCCAGGAAAATACCAGGCTATGTTAAAGATTCACTGAGTAAACTGATCAGTTCTGAAACAAAGCAATGGTGGCAAATGATCCAGGATATTTATCTCAAAAGAATGACGACCTGAAACTAGGGGTGGTCCGATTAATTGAAATAATCGAAGATTGGTCGCAGTGACTAAACGACCAAGCAATAGATAATGTTTTCTCATAATCGAACACAAACAATTTTGGAACACTTGTTTTCAGTAACAATATTTTTCACAAGGTTGGTTTTGTCTGTTACATTTCGTTCCAACTCGTTCCAAGTCATGATTGAATTTATCTAAAAGACTCCAGGAAATTTATGTTCCTAACATACTAGTCATCCTTAAAGATGTGAAATTTGAAAAAAGCCTGAAAGAGCTACATATGTTTTTTCTTCCTTTTTTGTGCATTAACAAACATAACCAGGAAAATTTGATCAATGAGGCTAACCAGTTATTTTCGATACTTGATCGGTTGTAATGAACCAATCATCAATTATGAGATTTTAACCAATTCCCAACACTACCTGAAACACTAGCACATTCAAATACATCACAAAGTGTTTGTATTTCAAATGTCCCTACCATTTGCACCATTTGTGACCTTGGTGAAGTATACTTGCTCAGTAATACTTTTATGATAAGCTTCTGGTTTGGTTGCTGTGGCCTTGGCTGTATTCTGTATGTGGCTGTGATATCATTATGATTTTGCTGTCAGCCTTTGTTATAGATGTTGTAGCTGATCATGCTGTGATTGTACTGGGCACTCATATACTACTTCTTTGATTGGCATTCTAGAAGTTGGGTAGATGAAGAAACGACATTAGAATCTATAATTCGTAACGTTGCCTATATAGAATAAAGAAGTTGTATATCCATAAAAATAGTCCTCATTCTTCACTCATTTACTATTTCCCAAATTCAAAAACATTGGTACAATGTGTGAAGGCCATATCTGGTGTCCCCTGTCGTGATATTGCTGGAATATGGCTAAATTGGCCTAAATTTTAACTCGCTCACTATTTCCCTAACAGGTTCGTCAGGAGATCGCCCAGGAGTATGAACAAGTCAAAGACATCAGCAGTACTCTGTCAAGCTTTAAGACTGAAAACTCCAACTTTAATGCAAATTATGGAGAATTTTCTCCCCATAACTATCCTAGACATGAAGAACCAACAAGAGATCCTGATGTGTGGCCGCCTCCAACTCCAGTTGAACACAGGTCAGCAGCATTTAGCATTTGATTCCTTGAGGAAAAAAAGCCCCCCTAAAAGAATGCGTTTCCCTAACCCGACTATCCCAATGGTTCACTTGCAACCCTGAAATCATCATAAAGAAAATCAACATCTCTTATAAATTGTTTCACCCACCATGGTAGTGAAACAAATATTTTGAACATCTGATATTTATTCTAAGAACTTACCTCTGTCAGTTCTTTTCCATAGTTCTCAGTAACAAACATTAATATGTGTGTCATTAAATATAGTAAACATGGCTTTTCGGTTTGTTGAGCTTAAACAGTGATATCTTTAGGGAAGAGTTAAGCTTTATCTTCATGGATGTTCTCATCCTGTTCCTTGTGTCAACAGACCAACTCCTCAGATAAGAGGTCGAGAAAAGGCTGCCCCTAGGAGGGCTGAGCCGAGCCGTGGTAGAGGTGCCCCATCCAGGCCAAATTCAGACAGGCGGAAAGGCCCTTCGTACGGAGGTGTTGACAAGGGGAAGGAGCCAGTTAAAGACAAGGGGAGAGAGAAGAAAAACAAGGTAGCATGGAGTTCAAGTTAAATAAACCTCTAACTAGTTCAGGGAAAGAATAGTCAGACCTTTGAGAATGATTTATGAGATGCCCATGTTTCTAATCCTGTGTTGAAATAATGATGATTTCCACTGTTTGATGTGGGTGAAGTTCCAAGCCCTTGGTTGGTTGATGCAAGTGATCGTGGCATGTTAGTATATTGAGATCAGCTGGGAGATATTGCTGTCTTCTTAGCTAAATCAATTGATCCCTTGTATTCTTGTGGGGCAGCATCTTTCTCCCACAGGAAAGTCTACACATGGACATTATACAAGATCCAACTCATGTGAATATCCAGTTATTTTGTGATTTTTAAGGTATTGCTGATCTCACACTGAAACAATTCACTGTAATCTATTTTAAGTACTAATTGTATGGAAACCTCAGCAAATGTCCAGTGATCAACTCAAGCAATATTTTTGTTCATGTTTTGTTTTTCAGCATGATGAAGAATCTGAGAAGGTTTTTGACTCAAGTGGATATGATAAGGATTTGGTGGAGCATCTTGAGAGGGATATACTGCAGAAAAATCCGAATGTCCATTGGTAATGTATTTATTATTATTTGTGTAAATGCCGTATATTGTTTTCCATATTCTACTTTTTTTTTTGGTCCCCAAAACATTGCATAAACTTTGATGTTCTGTCAAATTGTCAAACATTGTGTCCAAGTTGAAGAGGACTTTGTTAACACTTCGAGGTTCAATACAACAGCAAGCTTTTACTTTAAGACAGCTGTTAGTTTGTTACGTCAAAGTTGGACACCAAAGTGTATCAATTTCCCCATTCACTTTGCTAATAAGTATCCACAGTACCCATGATATGACCTCATACAAACTTAGCATCCATTGCCTTTGGTTACCAGTCTGAATTATCTGTCCCTCTCTGCCTTCTCTTTCCACAAGAGAAACCACACTAATCTATGACTTCTGTTTTTAGGGGTGGTGGGGTAGCCTAGTGATTAAAACGTTCGCCTGTCACGCCAAATACCTGGGTTTGATTCCCCACATGGGTAAAATTGTCGGGTGCATTTCTTGTGTCCCCCTTCATTAATTTATGTTGTTGGATTACTGCTAAATGTGGCATAAAATCATACTTGCTCTTCTCTTTGCAGGGGAGACATTGCAGATTTGGTTGAGGCGAAGAAGTTGTTGGAAGAAGCTGTTGTTTTACCTCTGATTGTCCCTGATTTCTTCAAGGGAATTCGGAGGCCATGGAAGGTATTTGTTAAGAGATACTCTGCATGTGGTTATGGTGTGGCACTTAAATATGTATATATGATGGTATTGTCGCTTTAATTTACATACCAAGAATACTGTAGCATGTTGTTACCATGGTTATGGGACTTCCTCATGTAAAACTTGGATGTGTAATGATACAGTGATACATATAGTATCCCCATACTAGACCCATGACACAGAGCATCTGTTTTTGAACCTGTATCATTATACATACAATGCAGTACACGGCAAGTAATAGTATAAAAGACATATGAAAAATACCAGGTTTAAGAACTGAACTGCTCTGCTATTTTCTGTTTGGATGTAAACATGATAAATTCCATAATATACTCATTGCCTTCTGACCTATGTGTTTCCGCTCTGCATTATCCCATCTTTGAGCTCTGAAATTTACAAACAAATGATTCAGGATTGTGAATCACCTGTGAAAAGAAAGAATATCATCTTATTAAATAACAGTATTGTATTGTGATGTACAAAGAATCTTACCTAAAATGGGGATGCATATCATATTGCAGCCCCACCATATCATTACACCTCTAGTATGAGAACTGGTACCATAAAAGGGTGTCATATCATAAGTATTCATGATCATTATGATAGTGTGATACTTAGGATTATTGAGTTGGAGGGAGCATCAGTCTACTAAGCAAGATTAAGATGGATCTATCTTGGGCTGTGTGAGATTAAAAGATGTTTTAACATGGTACTCACTGTTACCCTGCCTGATACTTGGTTTAAAAGGGGATAAGACAAGTACTTGTGTGCTCAGTCAGAATGCTTTGAATGGGGTATCCATGTTACGTCTTAAGATCTGCATCACTTGACATGCTTGAGGCTTTCTTCCCACATGAAGCTAACACGCCTTGATATAACTGGGATACTGTTCAGAGTGGTGTTTGACCCAACTCACTCACTAAATTCTTTTTCAGAAGAAGTCCTCCTTGGGGTACATATAAGCATTAAAATGTCCATTTTAAAAGCCTACGACAGTTGTAACAATATTTCAATAAAATATTTTACCAAACAAAAAACTCGTTATGTGTGGTGAGACCACCCCTACAGGGCCCCGTAGAGGGCCCCCTACAGCCAAGAGCAGGTAACTCTGGCTGTGTACCTCGTACCTCACTTTTCATGCTGTCGTCATTCGGCCCGTGTAGGTGGATTGCATGGTCCAAGAAGCTACGAATAAAGAGATGAGTGAGATAGAGTCAAATCCTGTATGTATGGTTCCTTTTTTCGCCGGGCGCTTAGCTGGAATCTTTGTATGACTTTTTTCATTCATGATTTGTTGTAACTTTACCGGCGTGTTCGCTGTCTCCAGCCACGTGGCAGGCAAGATGGCGGACCGCTGGGGTCCCATTTGCTTTCCTTCTCCTGGCTTTAAGAAAAGCCTTGTAGTCGAGGTTGTGAAAGGGCTGATATTTCATTTTGTAGATTATACTTGCCTAAATTCCTTTTTTTTCCAAGGCTTTAGGTAAGTTTTGCTTGAAGTGTTTTCAGTGGCGCGTTACGTGTAAGCTCACACATGTTGCTCTTTGTCACCTATATACGCAATTACGCCGCTATTATGGCTTTACGCTAGTATTTAATAGCTTTGCTGTAATAGTTAAAAATACGCCCAGGCGTTGTATTTTTGTTCTGTTTTGTTGTGTGCATATTATATTATGTATATCGTACAGTCCTTGCTATTATCATAGCGTGGTTCTGCTTTTTGCAGCCCTTAGAGGGTGTGTCACCTGTAGCGGCAGTTTGTCGCCTCAGGATCGCCACCTGGTTTGCTTTACTTCGTTGTTTAGCCGGAGGAAGCCCATGACGAACAAGGTTGTTCTATAATGTCAGGCTTTCTCCCCGACACCATCAAGTCCAGGCGTGTTGATTACATGTTCTACACGTCCCTACTTCAGAGCGGGGGGACATTTGGGGTCAGGAGCCGCCTAAAGACAAAGATAAAAAACAAAGAAAAAAGGCTTCGGCTTCCTCTCTTCGAGGGGATGCTCCTAAGCGAGGCGAAAGGTGCAGGGCCTCCGGCTCCTTCACCTGCCATCCCCTCAACATCACAGGCACCTTCCCCCTCCTGTCCCTGTTTCTAACCAGCTAACAATTGATTTACTTTCTGATATATTGCAGAAGCAGATGGATTTGGTCCACGCTCTGAAGTGGCTGACAGCGATGGCTGGCCTCCGTCAGGAGATTGGCGTCCGACCAGATGCGGGAGTGTGTGTGCGGGTCTATGGCGAGCAGTGCTCCCAACCTCAGCTTAGGCTCTGGTGTTGGGGGGTTTCTGTCGAAGTGCGTCGGCTCGAGTTTCGTCTCGGTTGCTGGCCACCCTCTCGCTGTAGTAACTACTACGGCCCGAGCCTTGGCCCAAGGGTCTGGTCCAGTAGTTAGTAGTTTGGCAGTCCCTGTAGTTGCCGCTTCGCTTCTTTGGTGGTCCCGCGCTAGCGCCCGGCTTACCGGGCCATTCGGGTGTCTGGATCATTTTGTCTCCCATTGAGGAATCCCAGCACGGGCTCTTCCTCATCACGGCACCGCCGACTCAGTCTCGAGTCTTGGGTCGGTGTGCGGGCAACCCGGCTCTGCTCGAGCCTTTGTCCTCTTGTAGACCCCTGGGATGATCCCCTCAGAGCTCTCTGGAAACAGAGACCTCACTCATTGAGGATCGATTCGAGGAGGCTATGGAGGAGGATGAGGGGGGAGGAGTTGGAATACGCTTTGGTTTGCATTTCGGTGCGTCCCTGAGGCAGGTACGGAGGCGTATTGCTTCTGTCCTGCCCCAGGTAGTGGTCAGTACTGAAGCACCCGACCCTCAGGAGTTTAGCCTCCCAGGGGAGGCTTTGCTCCCACCAAGGTGGGGACACAAGGCTGCGTATATTACCCTCAGTCTTGTCTCGAAGTAATCAACCCCCTCCTCTGTGGTACCAGGTCCAGGTTCGATTTGCCAGAACTTGACCGTCGGTAACCTCATGGGGAGGCTTGCCTCTACAATCCCCAGTGGTTGACGATTGTGTTTTACGCATCCGTCGCCCTGGGGGTTCGTCCGAGGTAATTCTATGGCTTCAGCCAAGCAAGGTCGCCGGCTTCCGCCGTTCACGACTAACGCTACTGGCGCTTTTAAATCCGCCTATCGATCCTTTTTGAAGAGCAATACCGCAATGCGGTTCAATGCCTCAAAGTGGCGATCCATTCCGCCCTACATCTCGGGTTGCAGAGGCAACTACTGGATGTGGGTGGGGTGGAGGAAGATCTCCCTCCACCTTGGCTAAGCAATTAACGGAGGTACAGTCACATCTGGGCCGCGATTCTATCAGGTCGCCGGCTTGCCAAATGATGTCGGCGGTGATGGGCCTCCGTCGCCGTGGCTTTCCGTGGCAAGGTATTGCCTGCCCACGCAACAGGCACTCTGCTGGCGCTGCCATTCCGGATGGGTTCTACCCTGTTCCCCGGGCAGCTACAGTAGTCCGGGAGAGCCGGAGGCTGTCTCAACCTTCAAGGACTCTAAGCCCTTGCTGGAACAGCCTCACACGATCTCGCCGCGGCCCCGGTTGTCTCCTCGCATATCCTTCTGCGGCGGCGGAATCTGTTAAATGGGCTCAGCCCTTGCAGTCGCGGAGGGGTAGGGGCAGAAGGCAGGGGCAAGGGCAAGGCCACGGCGCCCCACCAGCCTTTTCAGAGGAAGGGGAAGTCAGCCCCGGCTTCCCAGCTATAATTCCTCCGGAGCCCTTGTTGGTACCAGACCGAGCAGTCGGAGTACTGCCAAAGTCAGGTATTCAATGTCTCCTGCCACATATCCCTGTGGGTGGTGGACTTTCCCTCTTCCTGTCGGAATGGGAAAAGTCACGCCCAATCCCTGGGTCCTGTCACACTCAGGGAAGGCCACATGCCACAGTGGAAGCGAGACCCACCCCTTCTCCGGGATCCGTTGCACTCCAGTGCCGGCTGCCCTAGAGAAGGCGGAAGTGCTCGCGTGCGAGGTCCAGTCGTTGCTGGACAAGGCAGCCATAGAGTGGTTCCTGTGGGACAAGAAATGTTGGGTTTTACTCAACTTATTTCCTTGTCACCAAAAGGACGGAGGGTTCAGACCTATTCTAAACCTCAAAGGTCTGAACGACATGTTAGAGGTACCGTCCTTCAAGATGGAAACACTGCGATTCGGTGATTTCGTCTGTGGAGAAAGGAGATTGGCTCACGTCAATCGACCTCAAAGACGCCAGCGTACTTCCATGTCCCTATGCACCCGAGTTCGGAAATACCTAAGGTTTTCCTTCGACCGGGGAGGTGCTATCAGTTTCAGTACTCCCCTTCGGCATTTCCACAGCGCCAAGGGTGTTCACCAAACTCATGCTAATTCCAGCTCAGGTAGCCAGGTCACAGGGCAGGTGCTGTCACCCGTACCTAGACGATTGGCTCCTTCGATGCTTGCCACTCACTTGAGTCGAGTTGCGACACTCTGCTGTGATGAGTATTCTCACCAAGTTGGGCTGGATTATCAACCTCAAGAAATCAGAACTGGTTCCCACCCAGGATCTGGTGTTCTTGGGAGCAAGATTCGAGACAGCCCAGCGAGGATAGTCTCCCTGTCTGCGGACCGCGTCACTAAAGTCCAGAGAGTTGTGTTACAATTTCTCGAGTTCCCCAGGGCCTCAGCTCGGACTTGGCTCCAGTTGTTAGGCAACATGGCGGCAACGGTGGACATCGTTTGGCGAAGCGGTTGAGGATGCGACCCATTCAGCAGGCTCTAGCTTCGAATGTGGAGTCCACCCAGGGTTACTGAAGTTGATTCTCCACACTCCAGGGTGGCTAATTCCTCATTTACGGTGGTGGACACTGGCAGGAATTTATCAAGGGGCTCCCTTTGGACATCCCATCGCCAGATCTCTCAATTCAGACGGACGCTTCCCTCACACAGGGTGGGGCGTGCTGGGCGCCTGTCGGTCTCAGGCCTGTGGTCACAGCGGCGCAACTGCACATCAATGTGCTAGAATTGAGAGCAGTCAGGTTGGTGTTCAAGCGACTTGGAGCAGGTTCAAGGCCGTGTGGTCCGTCCTCGAGATGGACAACCAGGCGGCAATGACCTACATCCTGAAGCAGGGCTGATCACGGTTTCCCGTCTCTTCTGCAGGAGGCATGGCAGTTTCTGCTCTGGTGCGACCAGTTCGGACATACGGGTAATGCCTGTTTATCTCCCAGGGCGGACAACGTTCGAGCAGATGCACTCTCTCGTCGTATCCTGGCACGAAAGTGGATGCTCCATCGGGGATATTCGGGGCTATCTCCCAGTTGTCGGGTCGTTCAGGTGGATCTGTTTGCATCTGGGGGACGAACTAGATTCGGTGTTTTGCTCTCGGATACCGGATCCGAGAGCCATCGCCCAAAGACGCTTTCCAGCTCGATTGGGACGGACAGGGTTCTGTGGGCGTTCCGCCACTACCCCTGATTCCCAAAGTCCTCTTGCAGCTTGCCACCCAACCAGCTTCGACTTCTTGTGCTCCTTGCACCCTTTGGTCGGCTCAAAGCTGGTTTCCGGTACTTCTCAGGTTTCTGGCTCAGCCTCCTGTACTATTACCCTTTTCGACCGGACTTACTATCCAGAGCGGGCGCGCCTACGAATCCCAGGATTCAGTGGGTGGCCTGGCCTCTGTCCGAATCGCCTCGCACGCTGAAGCCGGAATTCCTGCACCAGTTGCAGACACAATTCTGGCTTCGCGGAGGGATTCGACAAACGTTCAGTATGAGGATAGATGGGCCTGTTATGCGCTGGCGCTGGTGTTGTCGGCAGAGGGATTCTTGATCCTTTTCTTCAACTGTAATTGAAGTACTGGAGTTCTTGCAGTCTCGTTAGAAGCGGTTTAGCCGGCGTCTACTATCCGGGGCTACTCCACGCAATCTCTGCCTTCCATATCCCTGCCGACGGTGCTCTCTCTTGGGGCAGCACCCTCGTATGGCAGCTTTTTAGCAGGCGTGGACAGAATCCGTCCGACTGTCCTGGGCGGATTAGTCCCCGTGGGACTTGTCAATCGCTTCTTGATTGGATGTCCGGTCCTCTCTTTCACGATCTGTCGTCTCTTTCACTCCCAGCTGTTAAGTTGGAAGGCTGCCTTTCTTGTGGCGTGTAACGTCTGGCAGGCGGGTAGGTGATATCCATCGCGATGTCAGCGGATCCTGCTCTGACTGTCTTTCACAAAGACAGAGTCAGTATTCGGTTGCCAGACTCCTACCGTTCTAAGGTCGCGAAGCGCGCTTTCATATAACGGCGCCTATCGAACTGCCAGCTTTCACTCAGCCTCCATCGTCCGGTACCTCTCTTGGCGTGCTCACGTCTTAGATGTCCGTATAAGACTCTCAAGGCTTATATCAAGCGAGCGGCTGCTATCAGGAAAGATAAGCAGCTGTTCTGTTGTTATGGCGGTGGCAAGGCTGGTCTTCCGCGAACAAGCAGACCATATCTAGGTGGCTTGTCTCTGCCATTTGTTCGAGTTACTCTTACAAAGGATTAACCATCCCTCAGGGTTTAAAGGCTCATTCGGTTAGGGCAGTGGCGACATCAAAAGCATACGCCGCGGCACTGCCCATTGAGGAGATCTGCTCAGCGGCTATCTGGAGCCGACCGAGAGCACGTTCATCCGCCACTATCAGCTGGACAAACACTCACGGAGGCGTGCTCGGTTTAGCCAGACAGTTCTCACCAGTGGGCAGTGTCATTGATTCTCTAGCCGAATGAGCCTTAGAAATCACGTTTGCTTTTCTCATGGTGTAGGTGTTAATAAATTCCTCAATTTTTATCGGTGGTGGTATCACATTGGTGGTGGTTTTTACCGTATGTAGCGATTATCACTCGCTACAGTCACTGTGTTCATCCCTGCACCACGCTTCGCTGGTTTGGGTTGCTGAGGGATATATATTGGACTCGCCCATACTTTCCCTCCCATTTTGATGGTTGGGGGTGGGACTTGCGTCCGCCTTTATAAATTCCACCAGTAGCCTATCGGCTGAGCTCCTTTTCCCCGCCCTGCCGCGCCCGCCTGATTGACATCAGCGGTCAGGTGACTAGGTGAGTGTACTTTCTCTCTCTGTCAGCGGCTTCGGCTGTGCCTTCGACTGAACTAGGGGTATGTTAGGCAGACAGAATACCACTCCCGACTCAACATCGCTTGGGAGTCTGTCTTATGCTTATATGTACCCCAAGGAGGACTTCTTCTGAAAAGAATTTTACAAACCTGGAGAGGTTATGAATTCTTTGAAGAAAAGTCCTCCTTGAGGTCATGACCGCCACCTCCCCTCATTCTGTCTGACACGTTCAGCATGAAAAGTGAGGTACGAGGTACACAGCCAGAGTTACCTGCTCTTGGCTGTAGGGGGCCCTCTACGGGGCCCTGTAGGGGTGGTCTCACCACACATAACGAGTTTTTTGTTTGGTAAAATATTTTATTGAAATATTGTTACAACTGTCGTAGGCTTTTTAATGCTTATATGTACCCCAAGGAGGACTTTTCTTCAAAGAATTCATAACCTCTCCAGGTTTGTAAAAGTTATATTGTTCATGTTCCTAAATGTTGTCTGTCAACCAATTTGTGTTTCACTTACTTGGCTGATAAATTAGTCTTTTTCTAATAGTAGTATGCATTCAATCATGGAAAAGTCATGCTTTTTATTAGTTCATATTTTTGTCAATTCTGAGGCCTTTACATAATTATATATCTGATGCTGTGATGTATAACTGACCATTAGCAACCACGTCTTTATATGCCCTGGTATTGCTGTAGTACAAGTAACAAATTGTCATCCTAGTTATGACGATGCAGTAAATTAAAAAACTTGAAAAGGAAATTCTTATTCATGTTCATTCTAGTTACAATGTGTGACACTGATGGTAGTGTATACATACCACATCAGTATGTAAAATTGTGTCCAGTATATGGAAGCAATACCTCAATATTTTGTCATTCTTAAAGTAGATTAGAATTTTGTAATTGATACATAAACATCTGGGAGATGGGAGAATCGGTTTTGTGGTCATCAGGGGTGGAAATAACCCATTGCCCGACGCCCGAGTCCAGTGTTTTTTTCTGTCGGGCAAGCAAATTTGTATATCACACTGTACCGGTGTCCAGTTGATATTCCAATGTTAATTATGTTGTTTCTTTAAGAAATCAACAAGAAAACGGCCGGTATAGTGGAAAAATTATCAGGGCAAGTGATTTTACATGTGCCACTGTACCGGAGTACACTAGCAATTATAAAGTTATTTCCACCCCTGGTCATGTGACTACCTTTCATCCAATGAAAAGCTGCATATGGTGTAACCTTCACATCAGTATGATAATGCTATTAACCCTGCATGTAACACAGACAACACTGACTCACTATTTCAACTAAATTGTTGCCCATCAACTCTTATCTGCAGGGTGTATTAATGGTGGGCCCTCCAGGCACGGGGAAGACGATGTTAGCAAAGGCAGTTGCAACTGAGTGTGGCACTACTTTCTTTAATGTATCCACCTCCAGTCTCACGTCAAAGTACAGAGGTGAATCAGAGAAGCTAGTCAGGCTGCTGTTTGAGATGGTAAGGAAACTGCTTTAACTTATTGTGCATGTCCTTTTCTTTCTCCTTGCTGCCAGGGTGTACTGATGGTTGGTCCGCCTGGGACTGGAAAAACTATGCTAGCTAAAGCAGTGGCCAGTGAATGTGGGACTACATTCTTTAATGTATCGTCGTCGAGTCTTACCTCCAAGTATCATGGAGAGTCTGAAAAGTTAGTGCGACTACTTTTCGAAATGGTAGGTATTACGATTGTGTGATTTGCACTGAGTTACCTCCCCTGGTCAGATACCTGCATGCTGCGTGTTTGGGTTCAGTGTGCACCAAGGGTCAAAGGTAGTGGTCTCATTTGCCTGAGAACTCTGTCCTCAAGAGGAAATATTGAGAGTGTTTTCACTTTGTATATGTATCATGTGTCCAGAATAATTATTTTATTATGTGAGTATTGGCAAACATAAAACACATGAGGCAAGAATTTTATGGATGTCAACTTCTTTATTGTGATGATGAAGGAGGAAGAATGTACTCCAAAAATAGAAGTTGACATCCATAAAATTCTTGCCTTTTGTGTATCACTTCTAAATGCCATTCAAAGACTCCATAAACACATTATTATTCCTAATATATGATACTTAGAAACACAAAGGTAATAATCCTTTTTGTCATGTAATGCCATTAAATATATTTTCAGTTTAGAAGCAGTTTGAATACAACATTTGAGTGAACCACCGCATATATTTTTTGGTGCGCCTAATTATTTACAGCTTTGTGTATCTGCTAGAACACCCACATGTTGAGAAACACCCATCAAGACTTGCTTGGAATGTCATTCAATAATTTGTCAGTCACATATTGCATCGCTTCTTCCTATCCAGATGTTGGCTTCGTCATGCGAAGAGACCAGATATACAATGTGTGAAGCCCATTTCTGTTGTTCGCCCGTGATGTTGTGAATATTGCTAGCGTAAAACCAAACTCAGTCAGTCAGTCAGTCAGTCCTATCAGATATACACCATGTACAATCACCATTCTCCACCACATGATATCACCATTCACATAGCGGTATGTCAGTGCCATATGTCTTATTACCTTGAACATGGCTGGTCAGTCAAGTAGCTTCATATCTACAAAATCCAGACATTTTAGATTGTCTGTTCTTGCTTTTGTTGGTCCAACTTTGGAAAGGCCACACAATTTGATGATTTACTTTGAAACAACCTTGAAATACTTTTTGGCCATCATACGTTTCCACTAGAGTACTGTCGGAAATAGAAACAAAATACAGCCTTCTACTCCAGCCCATCCGGCTTTGGTAGCCCCTGGCTCTTCATCTCGTCCACCTCCTGAGATTGATCCAGTCCAAATAGTCATGCCTACATCTCCCGCTCACTCTGAGTTATCTACCCCTGGGGGTAGCTTTGCAGCAGTTGAGACACCTCAGGTACTCGTTTGGATTGTTGAGAAGCTCCAACTTCCCTTGAGTATTTCAGCAGATGACCTGGATCACTCTTATACTCTTGGGAACCGGGATTGGTCTACCATCACCCTACCACCTCGACCTACACTAAATGATGGTTTCAAGAGACCAGAACAATGAAGGGATGGTTTTCTCTGCTCCTAGATATAATCCTTCTACCTCTCATGTCCTCGGCCTAACAAAATAATCCTTCTACGGTTCCAACAGTTGTCCACGGAACCCTGTGTGGCAAACGAGTTGCTTCGCCCTACCTTATTGAGGACCGAGAGTTGGCTCACATGGATTCAGCCGTGAGAAAGATGTTGCCATCTGTTAGTTGCGTGATTGCAGCAGTCGACGCTGTTAACTCTGCTCTGGAGCATACTTACTCTGATCAAGATGCTTACATCCGAGGATGCATGACTTTAGCTCTGGACCAGTTCCAAATTGTCCTGGATCAGTTGTCTCATTTTTGGGGCTACACTCTTACTGTTCGCCGACGTGGACCCCTTAACATCTCTTCATGGGAGGAGCGATTTAAAACAATTCACGAAATCTCATTTTGTTATCTTCAACTCATCATCATGTCATTGTAGCTCGTCATGTAACTTTCTTTGATGCATTGTTTTTCCGACCTTTGTTATTGTTATTGTCTATGACCACCACGGCCAGATCTGTTTCCTCTGCCACGGCCTTGAGTGGATGCGCCACGAAAGAGATTGCGTAAATCTGGATTGGTAGGGGTGAACTGTGCAGTTCGGGGCTGTTTTATTGAGTCCTGGAGCTGTGACTTCTGTATCTTTAACAGTTCAATCGAGACTTGAAAGTGGGTTTCTTTATCAACTTTAGTAGATACTTCTTGGATGCTGCCATTGAAGAGGGAGTCAGTAGACCATGGCTGGCGAAACAGTTTGTAAGTTAATTAGGCAGAAGCCAAGGTGGTGGGGGGGCTAATGGACAAGGAGGCCTATGGAAAAAAGTTTACAGTCGTTCCACTAAAAGTCGAAGCAAGAGAGAGAGGTGCAAGTCGTGAGATAGGATAAGTTTAAAAATCTGTTTTTTGGCTGTTACTCTGTATCCCTAAAATTTACACAATTGCAAATAGCATATGTCAAAATAACCCACATCGGCCTAACTGGGCGTTCATTGGGATGCGTAATAGGATATCGAGAAAAGCATGTTTACTTGTAGAATTGGGCAAAACTAAGAAAAAATACCAACAGCTGCTTAAAACAATAGATCAGACTATAGATGACAATTAGGTCGCCTTTTTTTACGTTTCCTATCTCCCTACCACCAAGACTGTAGTTAGACTGAACTTAGTTTAACAGATATTTCACATATTAACTACATAAATTGTGGATCTAAACGTGAAAAAAACAGTTTTTTTCTATTGCCGACAGTACTTTAGTGCCTGAGTTGGTTAGATGGCTGACTCTTAGCGTGCAGGCTCAAATCCCGAATGTGAATGAACCATTATCGTGATAGTATCAGATGTTATTAGTATAAAGTTTCCATGAGGAGACTTTGTAAATGTTTTGGATGTACCTGATCATATGCTTACACTGAAGCATGTGGTAGATGGTTTCTGCATGCATCATTTTGCTTTGAATGAGTTTAGGTGTTTCACCAATAGAAACTGGTGGATACTGGTGCCTTTCAAATTTGGTGTGAGGTATGCTGATCTAGTGACCTCTAACTGTTCAACCTTTGAAGATCCGGGTTAGAATTGGTCTTCAGTAACCCATGCTTGTAAGAAGGGATCGGGTGGTCAGCAACCAGTGACTTGGTTGACACATGTCATCGTATCCAATTTGCTCAGAACGATGCTCATGCTGTTGATCACTGGATTGTCTGTTCCAAACTTGATTATCTACAGACCGCTGCCATACAGATGGAATATTGCTGAGTGTGGCGTTAACCAACCACCGTAACTGTTCAACATTTATCATTGATAAGGGCTAGTCAAGCAGTGTTATGCATGTCATGTACTGCATAGCACATCTGCTTTGAGACCTTCATGAACAAGTTGACAGCCTCCTGGCACATGATATGATTGAAGGGATATAATAAGGACGGGTCAGCTTGGAATCAGTATGCTCTGGGGCAGTGGGGTAGCTTAGTGGTTAACCGTTCGCTCATCACGCCTAAGACCCGGGTTTGATTCCCCACATGGGTACAATGTGTGAAGCCCATTTCTGGTGTCCCCCGCCGTAATGTTGCTGGAATATTGCTAAAAGCGGCGTAAAACCAAACTCAGTCAGTCAGTCTGGTGTCCCCCGCTGTGATATTGCTGGAATATAGCTTAAAGCGGTGTTACACTAAACTCACTCAGGATGCTCTGTCTGTGTGGGATATTCACTCCGTCTTGATGGTACCTCAGTAAACTAGCCCTGTCTTATTGACACGAGTCCGGTATGCAGCTACACATCAACACACATGAACATTCTGTGAAAGTCATATGATCATGAACATGAAATTTAACCTAATTTCACCTCGAAATACTATCATATGAGATCATATGACTTTATTTAAGAAAGTGTAATCCCAAATACAACATATGTTACTAATTTCACTTCACCAAGCTTGGTAATATAAGCTCCTGACAGTGGTATCTAATTCCCAGTGCTGTATGCTGAGATAGTAACAGTGGTGTCATGCAATTGGCATGGAGCTTGCCTTTCAATGTAATAGGGGTGGGTATTGCAAGGAATTTTCATATTGCGATAAATTGCAATGCGAAAAGCATGTATTGCAATATATTGCAAGAAGTTTTCTTTAACAAAAACTATGTATAATCGAGTTAATGCTTGATTTATAAGCAAAAATGCAACAAAATCACAATGCTTGATTAGGCGTTAATAAAAACTTTTAATCATGACAAAATAAAAATGTAAATAATGTTTGGCACAAATGAAACAAGGAAAGGAACAATTTAAAAAACGGAAATATCCGAAGATATCCGAGTGTTACGAAGTTTTCCGAATGCATGTCAAAATACCGGTTTTCGATCAGCGTATCGCAATACGTATCTTTTTCATGTCTGAACCGGTAAGTACCGGTAAACTGGTTATATTGCGCAGCCCTACAATGTAATATATTGACTCTGATCAATTCAGAAAGAACACATGAGCCCTGCTGCCACTAGTCAGCACTGCATCATTTAAATATTTGCATCAGTGATACAATCCAAACAACGCACCATCCAGGGGAGATATTTTGATTTGAACCAGGGAGGTTGTCTCAGCATACCTATCTTTTTTCTTCTGTCACAGGCTCGATTCTATGCTCCAAGTACAATCTTCATTGACGAGATTGATTCCATCTGCTCAAAACGAGGCTCTGACTCAGAACATGAAGCCAGTCGGAGAGTCAAGTCAGAACTGTTGGTGCAGATGGATGGTGAGTAAAGTTATGATGGATGGTGAGGCAGGTGAGAAAGAAGGTGAGGCAGGTTAGAGTGGATGGTGAAGTTGATGCGGTTGAATTGTGAGAATATATGGTGAGAGGAGAGAATTTTAATATGGCGAGGTAAAACAGGTGAAAATCAATGGTGTGACAGGTGAGAATGGACTGTGGGATGTGAGAATGGATATGAAACAGGTGAGAATGGATATCATGTTTGACAGGTTAGAAGTGGTGGTGAGACATTATAAGTTGTATGCTTCTCCCTCGTGTAATACGGTCTGATGTACGCCTCTTTGTAGCAGTATCATCCCTCGCCTACAGGCTCGGGTGACACTGCTACAAAGAGGCGTACATCAGCCTACCGGCTCGGGTGACACTGCTACAACGAGGCGTACATCAGACAGTATTACCCGAGGGAGAAGCATACAACGTAGTTATCTTACCACCATGTTAAATGTACAAAATATCATTTTATTTTATGTTAAAGATCGCTAGTGACTATATGACCTGCAAACAAAATGGTGTCTGCCTCGCGACTGGATTTTTAACATTAGTGAAGCATATTCTCACAAGCATAAAACTGCTATAAAAATGGTTAATTATGTTTAAGTTGAGTGTGCAAACCACTCAATGTATAAAACAGCTTAAATAAAGCAGTGAAAGTCGGTAAAATAAATCTGTACACAGTGAACACAAAAACAGCTGATCGAACGGGTTTTTTTTCGCACTCCGGGCACGGCATGCGCCATATTATGACGTCATATGATTGTTAGCGATACAGCTTCTCGGTGGAGAGCTTGGCGGTTACCGTGGCAGCGGGTAATATTTTTTCCAGTTGTCACCCTCCTGGGTGGGTGACACGGAAACTTGTTAAACCGTCATTGACCAATGAAATTAAAGTATTTTACATGAAGGTAAGATAAGTCAGGATGTCCTTACACGAGACTGCCGTTATTGTTATCAGGACTATGACGTTTCACTGAACTGTATTTTCCTTCAGGTGTTGGCGGTGTTTGTGGAGAGGATCCCTCCAAGACAGTGATGGTACTGGCTGCAACTAACTTCCCCTGGGACCTGGACGAAGCATTGAGGAGAAGACTGGAGAAGAGGATATATATTCCTCTTCCCACAGGTCAGTCCATACTTCCACACAGTAGCACATTTACTGCCACCCTACTGCCATTGCCAAGTATGTCCTCAGAAACTAATAATGAGTGAGTTGGCTATTTACGCCACTTTTAGCAATATTCCAGCAATATCACGGAGGGAGACGCCAGAAATGGGCTTCACACACCGAAACTAAGAACAAATGGTGTAAGATATTGCGATAGTTCTTTCCTGGACGGCAGTTTCCTTTAGCTACTGGTAATGTCTCTTAATGAGTAGGGGCGGTGGGGTAGCCTAGTGGTTAAAGCGTTGGCTCGTCACGCCGAAGACCCAGGTTCGATTCCCCACATGGGCACAATGTGTGAAGCCCATTTCTGGTGTCCCCAGCCGTGATATAGCTGGAATATTGCTAAAAGCGGCGTAAAACTAAACTCAGTCAGTCAGTCAGTCAGTCAGTCTTAATGAGTAGGTACAACAGGTATTGTATTGGGTCTGCAGCTGTTCTTTCTTGTTAGTATCTGTGATTACCTATAACCTTAATTGTTTAGCAATTCTGTTTCTTGGATGTTTCAATGTTGAATATATGGTGGTATTTGCAGCTGACGGTCGTGTTGAGCTGTTGAAGATTAACCTGAGAGAGGTAGAAGTGTCTGAGGATGCTAATTTGACCCGTGTTGCTTCCAAGCTGGAGGGCTACTCTGGAGCTGACATTACTAATGTGTGCAGGTAAGAAAATCCACCGCATGGATGTAAAGGCCAATGGCTTGTTGTTAGAGCCATATAGAAAGGCAGTGGTTAGTGATGATTTGTTGTTAGAGCCATATAGAAAGGCAGTGGTTAGTGATGATTTGTTGTTAGAGCCAGATAGAAAGGCAGTGGTTAGTGATGATTTGTTGTTAGAGCCATATAGAAAGGCAGTGGTTAGTGATGATTTGTTGTTGTTGTTGTTTGTTTGAGGCAGGCCATATAGTGGTGAGTGGAATTTGTTGTTTGAGGCAGGTAGAAAGTGGTTAGTGATGATTTGTTGTTAGAGCCATATAGAAAGGCAGTGGTGAGTGGTAATTTGTTGTTAGAGCCAGATATAGAAAGGGCAGTGGTGAGTGGTAATTTGTTTATTTAGAGCCAGATAGAAAGGCATTTGTTAGTGATGATTTGTTGTTAGAACCATATAGAAAGTTAGTGGTGAGTGGTTGTTTGAGGGCAGATAGAAAGGCAGTGGTGAGTGGTAATTTGTTGTTAGAGCCAGATAGAAAGGCAGTGGCGCTACAGTGATGATTTGTTGTTTAGAGCCATATAGAAAGGCAGTGGTGAGTGGTAATTTGTTGTTAGAGCCATATAGAAAGGCAGTGGTGAGTGGTAATTTGTTGTTTGAGGCAGATAGAAAGGCATTTGTTAGTGATGATTTGTTGTTAGAGCCATATAGAAAGGCAGTGGTGAGTGGTAATTTGTTGTTAGAGCCATATAGAAAGGCAGTGGTGAGTGGTAATTTGTTGTTAGAACCATATAGAAAGGCAGTGGTGATTGGTATTTTTGTTGTTTTGAGGCAGATAGAAAGGCATTTGTTAGTGATGAGAACCATATAGAAAGGCAGTGGTGAGTGGTTGTTTGAGGCAGATAGAAAGGCAGTGGTGAGTGGTAATTTGTTGTTAGAGCCAGATAGAAAGGCAGTGGTGATTGGTATTTTGTTGTTAGAGGCAGATAGAAAGGCATTTGTTAGTGATGATTTGTTGTTAGAACCATATAGAAAGGCAGTGGTGAGTGGTAATTTGTTGTTTAGCCAGGAGGCAGATAGAAAGGCAGTGGTTAGTGGTGATTTGTTGTTAGAGCCAGATAGAAAGGCAGTGGTTAGTGATGATTTGTTGTTAGAGCCATATAGAAGGCCAGTGATAGATATAGGCAGTGGTTAGTGATGATTTGTTGTTAGAGCCAGATAGAAAGGCAGTGGTTAGTGATGATTTGTTGTTAGAGCCAGATAGAAAGGCAGTGGTTAGTGATGATTTGTTGTTAGGAGCCATATAGAAAGGCAGTGGTTTAGTGATTTGTTGTTTGTTAGGCCAGATAGAAAGGCAGTGGTTAGTGATGATTTGTTGTTAGAGCCAGATAGAAAGGCAGTGGTTAGTGATGATTTGTTGTTAGAGCCAGATAGAAAGGCATAGAAAGAGCCATATAGAAAGGCAGTGGTTAGTGATGATTTGTTGTTAGAGCCATATAGAAAGGCAGTGGTGAGTGATGATTTGTTGTTAGAGCCATATAGAAAGGCAGTGGTTAGTGATGATTTGTTGTTTAGAGCCAGATAGAAAGGCAGTGGTTAGTGATGATTTGTTGTTAGAGCCATATAGAAAGGCAAGTGATGATTTGTTGTTAGAGCCAGATAGAAAGGCAGTGGTTAGTGATGATTTGTATGTTAGTGGTAATTTGTTGTTAGAGAGCCAGATAGAAAGGCAGTGGTTAGTGATGATTTGTTGTTAGAGCCATATAGAAAGGCAGTGGTTAGTGATGATTTGTTGTTAGAGCCAGATAGAAAGGCAGTGGTTAGTGATGATTTGTTGTTAGAGCCATATAGCAAGGCAGTGGTTAGTGATGATTTGTTGTTAGAGCCATATAGAAAGGCAGTGGTTAGTGATGATTTGTTGTTAGAGCCATATAGAAAGGCAGTGGTTAGTGATGATTTGTTGTTAGAGCCATATAGAAAGGCAGTGGTTAGTGATGATTTGTTGTTAGAGCCATATAGCAAGTTTGTTTAGTGATGATTTGTTGTTAGAGCCATATAGAAAGGCAGTGGTTAGTGATGATTTGTTGTTAGAGCCATATAGAAAGGCAGTTTGTTTAGTGATGATTTGTTGTTAGAGCCATATAGCAAGGCAGTGGTTAGTGATGATTTGTTGTTAGAGCCATATAGAAAGGCATTTGTTAGTGATGATTTGTTGTTAGAGCCATATAGAAAGGCAGTGGTTAGTGATGATTTGTTGTTAGAGCCATATAGAAAGGCAGTGGTTAGTGATGATTTGTTGTTAGAGCCATATAGAAAGGCAGTGTTGTTAGAGCCATATAGAAAGGCAGTGGTGAGTGGTTAGTGATGATTTGTTGTTAGAGCCAGATAGAAAGGCATTGGTTAGTGATGATTTGTTGTTAGAGCCATATAGCAAGTTTGTTTAGTGATGATTTGTTGTTAGAGCCATATAGAAAGGCAGTGGTTAGTGATGATTTGTTGTTAGAGCCATATAGAAAGGCAGTGGTTAGTGATGATTTGTTGTTAGAGCCAGATAGAAAGGCAGTGGTTAGTGATGATTTGTTGTTAGAGCCATATAGAAAGGCAGTGGTTAGTGATGATTTGTTGTTAGAGCCATATAGAAAGGCAGTGGTTAGTGATGATTTGTTGTTAGAGCCATATAGAAAGGCAGTGGTTAGTGATGATTTGTTGTTAGAGCCATATAGAAAGGCAGTGGTGAGTGGTAAGTTGTTGTTTGAGGCAGATAGAAAGGAAGTGGTGAGTGGTAAGTTGTTGTTTGAGGCAGATAGAAAGGCAGTGGTGATTTGTTGTTTGAGGCAGATAGAAAGGCAGTGGTGATTTGTTGTTTGAGGCAGATAGAAAGGCAGTGGTAATTTGTTGTTTGAGGCAGATAGAGTAAGGGTGATGTCCACTGACTTGTTGTCCACCCTCATAGAATAAGTTTTTGGAGCCAAATAGAAAGAGTTGTTGTGCCCACTTATTTGTTGTTAAAACCAGAGAAACAGGGTCTCTGCCAGAGGCCGATAAAACAGGAGGTTAAATTGGAGTCTGAGTGGTTTTATATTACTATTAACTTTCAGCTTTGATATTGCAAAACAATATAATTTCTAATTGCGTGATTTTGTCAATGTAGAGATGCAGCGATGATGTCATTCAGAAGGAGGATTGAAGGACTTCGACCAGAACAGATTCGTAACATTCCTAAAGATGAGCTAATCCAGCCAACGACAATGGAAGACTTTGAGAATGCAATCCTGAGAGTTAACAAGAGCGTTTCTAAAGAAGATCTAGAGCGATATGAAAAGTGGATGAAAGAATTTGGATCTGTGTAAAACAGCATTCTTCAATTTTTGACAGTTGTCTGTATTGACAGCAAGGTTTACTTATATACACAACACCATGTGATGATATTGGTGGACAAACACATGTGATCTTTGTGTTCATGGTAAAAGTTTTTGCTTGTCACACAGAACACTCTGGATTTCACTTTTGTATAGTTTTTGAAGCCAAGATTTAGTGTACTCTCTATGAAAGTGCATTTTGACACCTGTGTCAACGTTACATTCCCGATCAAGGTCAAGATCTGTGGAACACATCCGTTTTGGTCATGATACATTCTTGTAACTTGTCACGTTCATGAACTTTAAGTGCTCAATAGTGTTTGTCTATTTAATTATAGTGTGGTATCTTTGTATCCTTCATCAATCACACTAAATATGTTTACCATAACATCCATTCACACTGTTAGAAGTGATATTCATTTAAGAGACAATCTATTATTGAGATGTATTGGTGTTTGGTAAAACATTGGCTTGCAGTAACAACAAGCATTTAGTTTACAGCAATGTTCCTTACTTCCTGGTAATGGATTTGGTTAGGGGTGAACTTTGGGAACCTGTATGTCTGTCTCTCTGTCTGTCTGTCTGTCTCGCTGTCTGTCTCGCAGTGTACAATACACAGTATGTATCCATTTAATTATGATGCATGCCAAAGACATTGCTGTTGAGTCCTTTTCCTGTGACCTGATGCTTAACATACAAAGGAGACTGCCTCCGTGGTGTAGTGGTTAGAGCGTCAGCCCGGAGAGTGGAAGGTTGCGGGTTCGATCCCCTACCTCGTCATACCAAAAGACGTTAAAATATGGTACTTGTTGGTCCCTGCTTGGCGCTCGGCATTAATGGGTACAAGGACTGGTCACTTCGGAGTCAGTATAATGTGTCTGAGGGGGGTATTCATGCTTCACTGCGGCCTGGTATCTCAGTGGGCTAGCACTATAAAACCAGCTTAAGTGTGGGCTAGTACAAGCAGCCGCACATACCCATACACATGCATGCACGTCGTCATATGAGCGAAATATTCTCAAGCACGATGTTAAACCCAATTTCACCTCACCTCACCTAACATACAAAGGACAACTACGTGGGAGGGAAATTCTGTTCTTAGTGATCAGATAGGTGGAGATGGTTAGATGTTTTCAGAGACAAGCTTTTGTGATGAACAAGTCCAGGGTATTTCTCATATTATATGCAGTTTTGTTTGTTATTTAACACCCTGCTTAGCAAATTCTACTATGTGATGGCAGTCTCCAAACAGTCGAGGCATTACTGGAGAGGTCAGTGATTGACATCATGAGTACTGATCTATTGGGATAAGATGACATGCATCAACTGAATCAGCAAGCATGGCCACCAGATCCCTTTAAATACCTGTCGGAACAACTTTGTTCTTTACAAATGCATCTGACACTTTCAGACAACTGTAGTACTGTAGTACAACTTTAAACCCTTATAAGTCTTCTTAGGAAAGCATTACCCAATTATGCACCAAATAACCCAATTGTATATAAAGACAAAGAAACAAGCTGTTGTATATTTACTCTTTGTGAACTTTTAGGTGTTTTGTGACCATGTCTGATGTAAATATTGGTAAATGTTCTTTCTGAAGACAATAAACTAAATGGCATGAAAACCTTGACTTATTAATGACAAAATAGGGTGATGTTTATATGGAATATATATATTATATGTATATTTGTTAGTTTCCCTAAGAGTTCTCAGAAATACTGTCCTTGACTTATATACTGCTGTGCCTATCAAATAATAAAGTAACAGAGCCTGGAAGTTTGATGTTGCCTTTGTCATTGTTTTATGATTGTTGCTGGACCACGAATAGACAGACAATCCATGCAACACAAGACATGCATTTTGAACAACTACTGTTGCATTGTTGGTTGGTTTGTTGTTTAACACTGCACTCTGCAATATTGCAACTATATGGCGGCGGTCTGTAAATAATCGAGACTGGACGAGACAATCCAGTGATCAACGGCATGAGCATCGATCTGCACAACTGGGATATGATGACATGTGTCAACCATGTCAGCGAGTCTAACCACCAATCCGGTTAGTCGCCTCTTACGACACGCATGTGTTGTTGAAGATCAATTTTGACCTGGATCATGTGCTGTTGCAAGTGCACTTTTGTATATTTTATAGATGCGGGTTAGAATTGATCTTCAGCAACCCATGCTTGTGGTAAGAGGCGACTAATGGGATTAGACTGGTTAGACTCGTTGACTTGGTTGACATGTCATCGTATACCAATAGCGTAGATCGATGCTCATACTATTGATCACAGTATTGTCTGCTCTCGATTCGATTATTTACAGACCACCGCCAAATAGCTGCAATATTGCGGAGTGTGGCGTTTAAACAAACAAACAAAATCTGTGTACCTTTAGCAAGTATGTGTCCAGCTGTTCTAAACTTTACAGCATGTTAATTATACACCTATCATGACCTGTCATGATCCTCTTCCAAAAACAAACCAAACAATGGTATTCTTGAAGGAAAATTTCGCCTGTGTCTATGAAAAGAGGCACAACCCTGTGATTAACATCGTGAGCATCGATCTGGCATACTACAACAAAGGATTCTCTTGAACTTATGTCAGCTAAATGTTTAATCCCAGCATTTAACATTGATGTTATCAATAGGTGAGTGAGTGAGTTTAGTTTTACTCCGCTTTTAGCAATATTCCAGCAATATCACAGGATACACCAGAAATTTGCTTCACACACTGTGCCAATGTGGGGAATCGAAGTGGGTCTTTGGTGTGATGAGCAAACACTTTAACCACTGGGCTACCCCACCGCCCGTTATCAATGAGGAAGTCCATAATTTTACATATTGCTTTTTCAGATGGTTTAAATGTAATTTGAAGTATATTTTAATGTAGTCTACTAATTTATTTACATGTAGACGTTTTTCGGAAATGGTCTCAGGACCCAACAATTAACAGCTGATATACAATACAACACACAAATATCTTATTTCTTTATGTCAGTTTGGTTGTCAGTGTCACCTTGACACGTACTCATAGTTTCATGGAAATGGTATCAATATATGTGATACGACGCGATCGGGAATCGAACCACTGATTTTCCACTCTCCGATTTGACGCCGTATCCTCTAGTCCACATAAACAGTTGTAAGGTGCTGAATAAAAGAAAATAAATACCAAGTACTCCTCGTCGTTAAAGTAATTGTCCTGCAAATTTACAGACCCTTTCATTATCAGATGCTACCAATGCGACTTAACCTGAACACAATTCTTTTTGTTCATTAATACATCAATCCATCTCTGGCTAATGTCCTCTGAGTCTCGATCTTCAGTCAGTCTGAGGGAGGTTGGATTTACCTATTTACCTTTCATTTGAAATTTTGGTTTGATCACGCCAGTTAGTCGTACGTTTTATATGTTTCCGGTTGTGTAGATGGCATGTAAGTAATCAAAGTTCTCAGGTTCTGGTCATTCTTCTGCGCTGGTTTAAAAACACTGGTTTGAAGTTAATCAACCCCCCACTATCTTCCACGAAATACATTTACCTGAGGAGTATTTACTCCTTACCTTTGGACTTCAAGAGATATGTGTGTGCGCGCGAGCACGCACGCACACACTGCTCCAAAACCGGGATCCGGGAAACAAATAAATACTAAATGGCTTTTCATATGAAAGAAACTTCACAGGCCAAATATTAGAAGCAATGACAAAGTTAATCATTTGCACTATTCATATGAATCTAAACGTTTTCCCTATTCATTATACTTGGCGTTCGAACATTATTTCCGCTTTCCTATTAGATACGGGACATAATCTTTGACATACGCGTCATCAAATTTGCAAAGAATAAAAAAGATAATATGATTTAATTAATGTGGTCGTTCAGTTTCATGCATTGTGTGTATAATTTCATGACAATAGCGAGCTGACACGAAATAACAATGCACATATAGGTATTGAAAATGTGGTGTGTGTCTTTGTGTACATTTCTCCCGTGTAACGTCGACTTTCGTGTCTAGATTAATGGTGCTTGATTGATTCAAAAAGTTAGTGTGTGAATAAAGAAAGGTGCAACTTTATACATAAAGACATCATGTCGATTGCTGTAAAGGACGTTTTGATCTCGATACACCATAATCCAGGTGAAGTTACTACAAGTTATTTCTCTGGTCCTGAGTTAGTTGACAGATAACTATGCGTCTGGTGTGTGTAACTTGAAACAAAGTAATAATATTCCTTGTTACATCTTGCGATGACTTTGTTTATTATTATAGTGACATAATAACTGGTTTATAGTCCTGAGTGCGTGGCTGTTTTAACCTGACACCAGAGGCCGTTCTGTGGGGTGTGATCCGTGGCCGTTTTTCCTACACCTGTTCAGACCATTCTGACATGGGGCGATTTCAACCTGTATCAATGCGCGATGTATCATCGATTTCGCTCGATGGGAATGGCGCGAGTCGGTGACGAAAAGTGGTGAGTATCGCGCGTAGAAAACCCTCGGCGTAGGTTCGCCAACACAGGTATGACATCAAGGTATAATCTCGTTTGTTCAATGTTTCCAAACGTGCACGGCTCGAAACAAAGGGGAAGGTACCGGTTGCCACGTTCATTGTTGATATATAAAATAGACAAATAGCTTGCACACAGGGACATCAGGTGAGGGAATGACGCGAGATGGTGACGAAAGATGGCGAGTATCGCGCGTAGAAAACCCGCAGTGAAGATTCGTCAACACAGGTAGGACATCAAGGTATAATCTCTTTTGATCATGCCCCTTGTTTCCGAACACCCACGGCTCGAGAGCAAGGGGCGGTACCGGTTACCACGTACATTGTTTACATATAAAATCAGACGCTGCTTACACACAGGGGCATCAGTTGAGGGAATCCAGATGACAGGAATGAGTTGAGAAGTTTCACCTAAAGTACTGTCGGTAATGCTAGAAAAATGCTTTTTAGCCTTAATATCTTTAAAAAAGTGATGAATGTACTTTGTTGTCAATATATCAACTCACCTATAGTGTACCTAATTTTTATTTCAATTGATTTAACATTCCCATGCATTTAAAGGGCAGTTTACAGGAGAGAATTTGGTACCAAAACAACAACTTAAGATTTTTTCAGAGTTCAACAACAGAAATCTGAAATAGTCTTTACATTTATGCTAATAATACAGGTGGTGTAAAAATATAAATTAACGTTTTTCTTAAACAAATAAATGTTGAATGTTTGTGTTACTTTACTTAATTATCGTTTCTTTATTGAAGAAATATTAATATAAATGTTAAGTCTTGATAAATAAGTTTCCCGTCATGCATGCACATCTTTATCACAGCGTCCACTATGGCCAACTATTTGCAGACGATTGTTGCAAAGGTTTATAAGTTTTTTGTGCTTGAAAAAGACAGAGGTAAACCTTTCATTAGTATAGAAATGGTTTAATACAGAACTTGTAGAGCTGTTGGTATGTCTTACCAACAAGTTTACAATATTGTAAACAAATCAGACAAGACAGGGACCGTCTCAAAAGCAAAACCGGGACGTAAAACCATCCTTGACAACTTTGACAAGGGAGTACTTAGACGGGCGGTCTACAAACTTTAGGAGAAGAAGAATATATATATTCTAAAGAAGCTACACCAGTGACTTCGTTAAATCTTTGGCCAATGTTCACAACTAGATTAAACTGACCGAATTACATCCATATTTTTGCAATGAAATATACTGTTGACATGCAAAACATTTATTAAAACGTTGCACATTTCTACAATCAATCGATAAGATAGCACAAGTGATAGGATTCTTTCCAATGTACAGTAATTCGTATGTTTATTTCACAACAAACACACATACACAAATGATCCCTTACATAACCAATACGTATACTATACGTACACATATTCAACATTTTGAAGAAAACATCTATTGAGATGACCCCTCGCCCGAGCGTGTGCTCAGGTGTCAATTTCACCTGTCGATACCGTGCATGCTGATGACGTAACACAGGCAGTTAATGTTTGTATCAAATAACGTCCCACTACCCCTTATTTTTCTAAGTTTTTGGTATTTTCATCAGTAAAAACGCATTTTAGGGCATGTCTCAAAATTTATTCCCTCGGTCTACATTAGGTAGATGTTTCTTAAAGTGATATTTGTTATTTAAGTAACTGTAATACCTCTGAATTTTAAATATAAGTCAAAAAGCATTTTTCTAGCATTTCCGACAGTACTTTCGGTAGCCTAGTGGTTAAAGCGTTCGCTCATCACGCCGAAGACCCGGGTTCGATTTCCCACATGGGTACAATGTGTGCGTAAAATCAAACTCACTCACTCTGTCTTTTAAAGCTTATGTATGTAATATTTCTTTATTACCGAACTGGTTGTTTTCGCTGTGAGTATCACCACAAATGCGGCTGTATGTGTTCATTAATCATCGCGGCATATTTCGTGATTTTGTCTTTATTTGCGATGGTTTTAGATTAGATTATGTCATCTCATCCTAAGCGAGTGAGTGAGTGTGGTTTTACGCCGCTTTTAGCAATATTCCAGCAATATCACGGGGGACACCAGAAATGGGCTTCACACATTGTTCATATGTGAGTAATTGAACCTGGGTCTTCAGCATGACGGATGAGAACTACACTAGCATGTGCGGAACACGAAGGATTATGCGTACAAGCACATTATTGTTGGCCAAGTGGCTTCTCGGTTTCCGCTGTTTACTTAACAGCGAGTCGATATATACATACACCTGGAAACAAGTTAAGTATCTGACCGCCAACAGAAACTATGTATTGTGATACGTATGATAATTATGTTTATTTAAGAAATTGTGGCAAGTGTACTTGATGGAAAGTGTCTGAAAGTATGACAGTTAGTAGAGTGCCCCACATCCAATATAGACTGTTTAGTTTAAGACGAGCATACGCTCAGGATTTTGTCTTAGCCTAGTGGTTAAAGCGTTCGCTCGTCACGCCGAAGACACGCGTTCGATTCCCCATGTGGTTACAATGTGTGAAGATAATTTCTGGCATACCCCGCCATGACATTGCTGGAATATTCATTACTGCTAAAGGCGGCGTAAAACCAAACTCATTTACTCACTATACATTTGTCTAAAACACTGGGTCCCGATCTACAAAACGTTCGTAGCGCTACGACATTCGTAAACCTATGATAAACTATAACGTTACGTTACGAACGTTTGTGGATCGGGACCCTGGAACATCTAAAGCTTACTATTGATGATCTGATCCATCGGTAACACTGACTTACTTTGTCCTGTGTACAGAACGACAATGGATAATGGCGTGATTGTTCGACGTGCTTCACTGGAAGACTACAATGCAGTTCTGGACATAAACAGACATGTCTACTTCGGTCTTGACTACCTGCCCTCTCAGTACGCGGACATGGCGCAGGACCCGGATTTCACCTTGTATGTGTGTGAGTATGAAGGCAGAGTGGTAAGTAGTCATGGGTGGCCTAGTCACCTAAGATGTGTTTCTTGTTTGTCTGTTTGTTTATTTGGTTGTTGTTTAACACCGCACTCTGTAAATAATCGAGTCTGGACCCGACAATTCAGTGATCAACAGCATGAGCATCGGTACTGACATAGGTCAACCAAGTCAGCGTCTAAGACATTAGAATTCGCTATGAAGATGTGTGTCCCGTAGGCTTGACAACCACTTGCAATTGCTGGAAGAAATACTTGGACATGTTCCCAGGAACCCAGCAGCCCATGCTTGCCGTAAGAGGCGACTAATTGCGACCTTCTTAATGTTTTCTGGTGTACCGTTTAATAATGTTTGTGTGTTTAACGGCATTCTCCGCAAAAATGCAGCTATACCAGGGCGGTCTGTAAATAATCGAGTCTGGACCTGACAATCAAGTGATTGACATCATGAGCATCGACCTACGCACCTGAGAAACAGTGACATGCTTCAACCAAGTCAAATCACAGTATTCCCACAAGTCGCCACTTACGACAAGTATGGATTACTGAAGACCATTTCTAACCCCGGTCTTCACGGGTCAACCATCTGTCAGTCCCATACCTGTGCTAGTAGGTATCACCAAAGTGGTAAACAACAGGCGCCACTTCAGACTTCCCCGCCCCGACACCCTCCCAACTGCAGACACATCGTGATATATATAGTGTAGTGGTTAAAGCGTTCGTTCATGACACCGAAGACCCGGGTTCGATTCCCACATGGGTTCAATGTGTGAAGCCCATTTCTGGTGACCCCACGCCGTGATATTGCTGGAATATTGCTTAAAGCGGCGTAGACCGTACTCACTCAAAACAAGTCAGATTATTAGTCGACGGTGAAACAAGACGACTGATGCCGAATCATTCTTTGCCCCACAGATAGCGTTTGAGGCCGTTTGTGAGATCAATGGAGGTCAAACGTTGATGATGAGGTCAGCTCGTGTACACGAGGAGTATCAAGGTCAAGGTCTTCTAATGAAACTACGGAAGCAAATAGAAAAGGACTTCACAGGACATCCAGTGGTTAACAGCTTTGCCTGTAGCTTAACGGCTAACACAAAATACAGGGAGAATGTATCTTTCCGGGCCAGAAACAAACTTATATTGGAACGGGTAAGAAAACCCAAAGCTGCTGTGCTTGTTTTGCTTAAAGTCAAACTCACTAATGCAACCTGAATTATTAGTTAGTATAAATCTATAACTTGATTTATTCATGATATTGCTGAAATATTGTCACTCACTCACTCACTCACTCACTCACTCACTCACTCACTCACTCACTCACTCACTCACTCACTCACTCACTCACTCACTCACTCACTCACTCACTCCTCACTCCTCCTCACTCACTCACTCACTCACTCACTCACTCACTCCTCACTCCTCCTCACTCACTCACTCACTCACTCACTCACTCACTCACTCACTCACTCACTCACTCACTCACTCACTCACTCACTCACTCACTCACTCACTCACTCACTCACTCACTCACTCACTCACTCACTCACTCCTCCTCCACTCACTCCACTCACTCACTCACTCACTCACTCACTCACTCCACTCACTCACTCACTCACTCACTCACTCACTCACTCACTCATCACTCACTCACTCACTCACTCACTCACTCACTCACTCTAGGTAGGAAACAGTTACCACAGCAACACACCTTTTATATTTCACCGAAAACAATATGTCCAATCTTCTGAGACAAATGGACGGCAACGTAAACACCAGAGAATAATGATCTCCATAATCACCGAAACCGATACTATTGGAGCAGTAGACGAATAACCGTATTTCCTTTATCTGCAGGCATTGTTCTACCACAGTTTCAACATACAAGAAGTCCTTGAGAAAACAACTGTTAGAAGTCAAACAAAACAGATATCATCTCAAGATTTTTGTGACCTCTTCCAAAACAAAAGTCTTATGAAATATTTGTTTCCATGGGACCGCGTCGCTATCAGTGAGTGAGTGAGTGAGTTTAGTTTTACGCCGCACTCAGCAATATTCCAGCTATATGGCGGCGGTCTGTAAATAATCGAGTCTGGACCAGACAATCCAGTGATCAACAGCATGAGCATCGATCTGCGCAATTGGGAACCGATGACATTTGTCAACCAAGTCAGCGAAACTGACCACCCGATCCCGTTAGTCGCCTCTTACGACAAGATAGTCGCCTTGTTATGGCAAGCACATGGGTTGCTGAAGACCTATTCTACCCGGGATCTTCACGGGTCGCGTCGCTATCAACAGTTGGCATTTGAGACCGATTGCCGAAAATATACGTCACATTGACAGACAGAAGCCGGTTATTTTCATTAGCCAAGACTTGGAGGAAGGCCAAGGTTTCCTCACTATTGGGCTGGTGATTAGGGTCCCTGCGGGGATTTCATTGCATCTGGAAATCTATGGTAGCGGCGACGACTCCGAACTGGAGAAACACTTGTACAGCCATGTGTTGGCGTTGAAGGGTTTAAGCTCGGACAACGTGCACCTGTTGACGTACTGTGATATGACGTTGGAATCATCGGTGATCTTCAGGCTGTATGAACGTCTTGAGTTGCATGTGATGGACAACCCTTTTAAAAGTTTACAGTTCTTTGAGGAAGACTTCCACCCTAGTTAAATGTGAAGCTTGAGTTGCGGTGATGCTCTTTGTTTTCATCCTATGTCATGTTTCCGACCTGGATTGGGCTGACTGGATTGGTGGAGTTTAGATGGTCGGTGTATTTCACTAGTAAATACATATACACACAAGTATGTATGTATGGTAACAACAAGGGCGTTTTGCACAGATTATTAAACTCTATCGGTACCTTACGTGAGTGAGTGAATCTGTTGTATGGTCAAGGTATCCGGCTATATCACGCAAGACCGTTAGTAATTGAGATGGAAGTGAGTGAGTGAGTGAGGTTAGCTTTACGCCGCACTCAGCAATATTCCAGCTATATGGCGGCGGTTTGTAAATAATCGAGTCTGGACCAGACAATCAAGTGATGAACTGCATGAGCATCGATCTGCGCAATTGGGAACCGATGACATGTGTCAATCAAGTCAGCGAGCCTGACCACCCGATCCCGTTAGTCGCCTATTACGACAAACATGGGTTACTGAAGATCGATTCTAACCCGGATCTTCTCGGTTCTAACCCGGATCTTCTCGGTTCTAACCCAGATCTTCTCGGTTCTAATCGAAATTTGACCGACCATACAAGAAACCACGCCAGGAACGGACTGCTTTGCTCGGTCGGTACCAAGGCGCACGAGGCTGTTCTTACAGTTGTAACAAATTTTATATTTGAGAATACAGTATTTACAAACTTTTGGGGATGTTGGGTTGTTGTTTTGGTGGTGGTATTGCTTGTGTGTGGCGACTAGGTATGTGTTGGTGGGGTGGGGGTGGGGTACACCTCGGGATTCGAACCCTGTACTCACCAGACCGCAAGTACAGAAGGTGTATGGAACCCACTCAGCCGCCAAGGCCACGAAATCGGAAGTCCGACAAGTGGTAGTCTAAACCATGGTCTTTGTCCACGCCGCTGACAGGTGTAAGAGCGAGCTGCTAGATCACGTTCGAATCCCGAATTCGTTACGTTTTGGCAGCTTTCAACAAGGCTGCGTATTCAGGCAAACCATTACAGCCGGCGTCGCTAATTGGTGCATCAACGTATCTTGACCGACATTCCCAAGGATTGGACACCTAGCACCAAGTCAGCGATGGTCTGGGATATAACTGGAATACTGATCAAAGGGTGTTGAACTTAATTACTCATCGCCGGAATATCTACGGTTATATGATAACAGCCTTGAGCAAGCACTAGTTGCCTGGATATGTGCGCTATATAAGTATCCTATAATAAAAATAAGTATTGGGGGAGACACTGACTGGATCTTAAAGCACATGATCCAGAAGATTGCATGGCACTATTGAAACAACAGCCTTTGTTTGTTTGTTTGTTACTGCACTCAGCAATATTTCAGGTTTATGGGGTGGGCTGTAAATAATCTGGACCAGGCAATCCAGTGATCAACAGCATGATCATCGATAAGTTGGAATTCCATGACATGTGTCAACCAGGTCAGCATCCCTGACCACCCGATCCCGTTAGTCGCCTCTTACGACAAGTATGGGTTACTGAAGATCAATTCTGACCCGAATCTTCACGGCCGGATATCCCAGGTTAGACAAGCATGGGTTCCTATATAGACAAATTCTGTTCCCAATCTTCACTGGTGCTTTGATAATGTACTTGGCACTCGCCTTGCTGAGAATACAGTTAGACGGACTCGCATGTCGTGGGGGAATAGTCAAAATTTGCTACATTTTATAATGAGCCTTTTGAATAATCCATCAAATAGTAATATTACCTGAAGATAAGGGGATCTATGATGAACACACACGATGCTAAAATGTAAACATGATGAAAACGAACATGACATTTAACATAGCAATAATACATAGGTCACTGGAGAAATATGAGCTTAAAAGGTAATTGAACTTGTTTCCATTTATTGCATATTAATAAATATATTTGTTGATTCTCTGTAAATGTAAAGCGGTAATGGTCAGTCTGGAGTAGGACACCGGGTGTTCGCGTTATCGGTAAAATATTCTGTTGTACGTGTAACACCCGCCATTCTTTCAATTTCCACAAACTTAAGTGTTTGTTTTATATACCACGACAATGAGGCAATGGTGTAGCCTAGTGGTTCAAGCTTTGTCACACCGAGACCCTGGTTCAATTCCCTACATGCATGGGTACAATGTGTGAATCCCATTTCTGGTGTCCCCCGCCGTGATATTGCTGGTGTATTCACAAAGCGGCGTAAAACCATACTCACTCGCTTATTACCTCTACACATGTCCGCCTGTTTGTCGACAACAGATACGTCTTCAACTGCGTGGAGAAACAAACTTGACTCTTCCGTATAGAGACGCCAGGATGATATTGCGATATTTTCACGCTGTCTAAAGCAAGACAGCACGAGGACGGGAATATAAGGTACCATGTACATGTATTGTCCAACACTGTACATAGATCTGGCATTGTCATATTAGCATGCTTGATATTAGATTGACCAAAACTTGAGTGCATCACTTTAGTGATGCTTCACCAACACTCATCTCTTCTGTACTGGAGTGTGAACACCAACTGTACATTTCTCACTGCCGGGAGTCACGCTACATCACACGTACTGAGCTGGGTGGCTGTTTCAACACAGCTTACCTTTCAGGCTATATGTGTGAATGTGTTTTAGTCACGGTCTGTTCCCAATGAAACATATGCAACAGGTAATTAAGTCCTTGATTGTAACTGGACTGACTGACTGACTGAGTTTGGTTTTACGCCGCTGTTAGCAATATTCCAGCAACATCACGGCGGGGGACACCAGAAATGGACTTCACACATTGTGCCCATGTGGGGATTCGAGATTGTAACTGGAGGACTCATTACAATTATCACGGGATTGTGTGTTGGGATGGTGGACAGTCTGTATCACGAGTAACGGTTCATAACACATATCATAACACATATTACACGATATTTAGTTAACATGGCATGTGATCTATATGTAATCTATTGTGGGGGTTTAAATGAGGAGCGACACATAATTTTAAACCCAATATACATTTTTCAGCAGTTTCTGCATACTGACGTAACGGCTAAACGCCATTCTATGGAAACTTTCCGTCTCCATACCGTGCCTAACCGCTATGACTCCTGAGCAAACCTGCAAATCTAAATACGAATCTGATGTAATTCTCTCATGGTTTTGGGATGCATTTTTACCTTATAACAATACTTAGAAAACACTCCATTTTGATTAAAGGGTTGTGAAAGTATATTTTTCCGAGTATTTTCTGGTTCCAGTTTTTTACAAAACAATTTCCAGAAAGGTACTTTTGAAGCAGGGCACAGAGTTACAGAATGTGAGCGTTAAAATGACGAAAATATGTATAGGGTAAAGGTCATAATGTGAACAGTCGAGGAGTAGTGTGAAGGGTGTTGTGTTGCTTGATGCCGTAGTCAGCAATGTTCCAGCCAAATGACGGCGACCTGTACATAATCGAAACTGTACCTGACAATCATGTGACCGATGGCATGAAATCAACCAAGTCGCTCAGCCTGACAAGCCGATTTATTTTGTCGCCTCTTACGACCAATATACATTAATGAGGATGATTCTAAAGAATCGGGCGTGAATGAATTAAACTTAATCACTCAGTAACTTCATACACGTTTTGATGATTTATCTTCTCTATAATGGTACGTTAGCATCTATGAATACACTACTGTGTACAACGTTGTCACAACATACGCTGGTTTAGAGGGGTGGGGGTGGGGGTGCGCGCACCGTTTAGTCCTGAAAGTTTATTAAATGACCATTGAAACTCTCGTGAAAATGAAGTGTGCACCCACCCTTTCTCAAAAAGCTGTATCCGCCCCTGCATAGCATATACATTAAGATCGGTGCAGCCAAGTGGTTATATCGTTCGCTCGTCACGCCGAAGGCCCGGCTCCCGGGAACATGAAAGTGTCTTAAGTCCACATTTTGTCTTAACTCTTAAAATTTAGACTGAAGACTAAATTTAGTCTTAAATCGGGGATCACGAAGGTCGATCTTTAAGAAAATCTAAAGTCTCAGATCAAAATTGATCTTAAGTCCTAAGACTGCTTGTAGCAGTAAAGATGGCTGAAGTAACTCGACTCGTTCGTCGGCTTCGTTCTAAGAGAAATAGATTGCATATTCAGAGGATTTCATGAATCGTTTCAACCGTATGGAAATGTATAGCGACGATGAACTATTCGAAAGATACAGATTTCGTCGTTCTACCATATTTGATTCCCTACATGGGTACAATGTGTGATGCCCATTTCTGGAGACAAACAACCAAACCCCCACCCCCCACCACCCCGCCCGGCATTATTTTGCTGTAATAGACTCATATGCGGGTAAAATGTAACTCATTCACTAACATATATATACAATTTTTCAAGTTTTGTAAGTGATCGGTTACATCGTAATGTGTAACAACACTACAAATTTGTTGATCTGGTGGTATAATTTCAGCTGCTACACGATTACATAATGTTAACGACCAAATCACGCACCCTGTCCATTCCTAAGGCTGTATCATGGCTTGCCCGGCGGGTAGTGTGGAGCGGGGATTATTGGGGAGGGGGAGGGGGATATCAGGATGTTACAGGATGGAACTGTGAAAGCCTCACAGACAACCAGAGACACATATTCAGTGTCAATTGTTTCTGTTTCCAAAACAATGTAACAGGTGCTGGTTATGTCTGGCAAATATTGAGATGATGTCGCTGATTTTTCCCCAAACCAGATCTCATTGGTTTGTATTCCACCTGATGTCTCCATCACATGGTATCATCGTCCCACTGCCAAGCTCCCGATACACCCCAACAGCTGTTTTCTAATGCCCCATAATGTATCCGACACCCGTGCTTCACGCACCTGTCATCGGTGATCGTGAAAGATTGAAAGGGTGACTTTCCGTGATATCACCTGGCTCACAAACATTAACTGATGAGTAATGGATGTTTCAACACATCACAGGTCCGGGTTCGGGGGTATATAGTAATAGCAAATTTCGCTTCCAGACTATTGAGTGTTGCCAAGTCCCAAGTTGAAGGTAAGTCTGTTTTGTTTGTTGTTTAACGCCGCACCCAGCAATATTCCAACTGTATGACGGCGGTCTGTAAATAATCGAGTCTAGACCAGTGAGTGAGTGAAGGCGTATAGTTTTACGCCGCACCCAGCAATATTCCAGTTGTATGACGGCGGTCTGTCAATAATCGAGTCTAGACCAGTGAGTGAGTGAAGGAGTTTAGTCTCACGCCGCACCCAGCAATATTCCAGCTGTATGGCGGCGGTCTGTCAATAATCGAATCTAGACCAGTGAGTGAGTGAAGGAGTTTAGTTTTACGCCGCACCCAGCAATATTCCAGCTGTATGACGGCGGTCTGTCAATAATCGAATCTAGACCAGTGAGTGAGTGAAGGAGTTTAGTTTTACGCCGCACCCAGCAATATTCCAGCTGTATGGCGGCGATCTGTAAATAATCGAGTCTAGACCAGTGAGTGAGTGAAGGAGTTTAGTTTTACGCCGCACCCAGCAATATTCCAACTGTATGACGGCGGTCTGTCAATAATCGAGTCTAGACCAGTGAGTGAGTGAAGGAGTTTAGTCTCACGCCGCACCCAGCAATATTCCAGCTGTATGACGGCGGTCTGTAAATAATCGAATCTAGACCAGTGAGTGAGTGAAGGAGTTTAGTTTGACGCCTCACCCAGCAATATTCCAGCTGTATGACGGCGGTCTGTAAATAATCGAATCTAGACCAGTGAGTGAGTGAAGGAGTTTAGTTTTACGCCGCACCCAGCAATATTCCAGCTGTATGGCGGCGATCTGTAAATAATCGAATCTAGACCAGTGAGTGAGTGAAGGAGTTTAGTTTTACGCCGCAGCCAGCAATATTCCAACTGTATGACGGCGGTCTGTCAATAATCGAGTCTAGACCAGTGAGTGAGTGAAGGAGTTTAGTCTCACGCCGCACCCAGCAATATTCCAGCTGTATGGCGGCGGTCTGTAAATAATCGAGTCTAGACCAGTGAGTGAGTGAAGGAGTTTAGTTTTACGCCGCACCCAGCAATATTTTGACGGCGTTTAGTTTTACGCCGCACCCAGCAATATTCCAGCTGTATGACGGCGGTCTGTAAATAACCGAGTCTGGACCAGACAATCAAGTGATCAACATCACGAGCATCGGTCTACGCAACTGGGATATGATGACATGCTTCAACCAAGTCAGCGAGCTTGACCACCCGATCCCTTTAGTCGTCTCTTACGACAAGCATGGGTTACTGAAGATCAATTCTTACCCGGATCTTCAAGGGTTTAATTAACAAAAATAATAATGATGATTGTGATGATGATACTGATTTATTGAAAACATGTTCTAAAGTAATTACACTGTATAACATTTTATTTCAACTGTAATAAGTCCCAAAAAGGATACACAAAACTGACTTTAAATATATCTCAAACTTAGAAATTTGTTGAGAGTCCTACCATGATTTAGTGTACGCGGTGTCTACCACTTTCATGTACATGTACTAGAGTACCTAAAAATTGCATCGTATCGCAGCTGCGTTGATCGAAGCTCAAGATGTCAATCACTGGATTGTCCAGACTCGAGTATTTGCAGACCGCCGTCATATAACGGGGATATTGCTGCCTGCGGCGTTAAACAACAAACAAACGACGCTTATATAACAGCATAATGCATTCTCACATTATGAACTTGATGTGTCGTGGCTGTTTGTAATCTTAGTGTTGCGGGAAAATGCTGCCCAGTAATAGACTGGGTATTGAATACATGTGAAATAGCATATAACTCAAGTACATGTGATTAAACGAACAGAAGAGCTTAATTATATTGACAACAAAATGCCTGTGCCTCGCCTCGTCTCGTGGATGATACACGCTTACTATTACTGTTAGATATAATATATTATATTGTAGAAATAAGCCATGGACATGAAAGAAGAGAAATAACTTCATGTTTGAATTAGGAGAGAATACATAAATACTTTCTGAATCCATAATTTATTGTATGTAGACAAATTTCATGGAGATTCTATGGTTTTTAAGTACTGTTGAACAACATGCCGTCATTTTGCAGATGCGTCCTGTGTGCGTCTTTCTCCTGGTCTTCATTCTAGCGGCGCCGACCTCGTCTTTCTTGTTTCGCGTTTTCCGTCGCCGACGTCGTCGTCATGTTATCGTGGTAAATCAACCGTACCCGCCCAGCCCCGTCTACTACTATCGTCGTCGTCGTCGCTTTTGGAAAAGAGGTAAGGAGACCTATTTATTAGACTATGAGGATCGCTTATGTGTTTTGGCACCCGATTCGTGTCACAAATGTTATGTTTGGGATTACACTTTCTCAGTAAAGAACATATTCTAGTACTTTTGTTGGAGTCCCATCCGGCATTGGAACTCTCAGAGTCAGGCACCTAATCGCCAGCACACAAAGTCAGCCGCCTAACCCACTCAACCATCGCGGCTCCCATAAAAAATGGAAGTCGGACAACTGGTAATCTAGACCAGAGACTTTGTGTACCAATCTGGTAAGTGTAAAATGGCATTGCGTATTCAACCGATTCGTGTCGTTTGTGACGTAAGGTCTGTCAGTGCCATACTCGTATACAGATTGTACCAGTGGTAAACGTGCTGTGATTTGGCGTCCCCACTCCGCTGAGATGACATGCAACCCGTGAAGATCCGGGTTAGAATTGATCTTCAGGCAGCCATGCTTGTCATGTGAGGCGACTAACGGGATCGGGTGGTCAGGCTTGCTGACTTGGTTGACACGATACATCTAGTGCTTTTGTCAATTTAACTTTATATGACGTTCGTGTGACGTTAAACATCAGATGCTTTGTCGTTATGTCATCGTATCTGAGTTGCGTAGACGGATGCTGATGATGTCAATCTCTGGCTTGTCTGGTCCAGACTCGACAGTTCACAGAGCGCCGGCATACAGATGGAATATTGCTGACAACAAACGATCAATCTGAGCTGACATGCCATTATCCCGTCGGCGTTAAGCTCAACACACTCACACCGCTCGTTTGTGTGTGGGTGTAATGACGTATTGTCCTCTCATGTCTTGGGAACAGTAATCAGATGTAACGTATGTTATATTTCGGATTACACTTTCCCAGTTAAAATTCTAGTATTTTGTCGGGTCTCACCCGGGATTCGAACCCATAAACTCAGTAAGGCACCTAATCGCCAGCACACAAAGTCAGCTAGAATCGACACTGTACTGAGAAAGTGTAATCCCAGAAATAACATGTGCTATATGACCACTAAAAGGCATAGTGTGTTCATCATAGCGCTGGCCATGGGTGCCGTGTACTTGTCAGAGGGGGACACAAAGTACGTGATTTACAATACCAGTTGTCAGACTTCTGTTGTGTGGAAGCAGTCGTGACTGAGCGGGTTAGATAGCTGACTTTGTGTGTTGGCGATAAGATCACAGACCCTAGTGTCTTAGCGAGGATTAAAGATGTTAAGAAAAAAAAAAAATTAGAGATGACCCCCGACTCGAAATGCTTCACAGTACAATACATTATGACATGCATGTATGGAACACACACGTACACAGATACACACATTTACACACAGACGCTGTCGCGCACACGCACATACACACTGTCTACTATGTAACTACACGCACAGGCATGTATGTAACACTCAGATACACACATCTACACACAGAGGCAGACGCGCGCACACGCGCATACACACTGTGCCTCCTGTAACTACAGGCAAATATACGCACGGTACACACATACACGCACGCATGCACACATTCACTGTCAATCCTGTAGCTACACGCAGATGCATGCATGGAACACACACTTCCACAGACAAACAAACATGTCACAGACGTGCTTGTGCAGTGTTGTTCGGACACTTTGCGCATGTAAAGCGATTATAAAAAAACAAAACACTGTGAAATCATTCTTTGTTTTTTCACTATTTTCACTTCTTGATACGACAACTAAGTAAGGTAAACCCCCTTGCCTCACACGGATAATTACCTCTGCCTAAACTGTCCGTAATTCAAAGCGGATTAGTTGTACCCCGAATATGGTATGATAATAACCCGGATGTTTCCTTCTTGGCAGATGCGGTTGCCGTCGAGCCGGACGAGGACGCAATACAGTACGCAAACAGAAACCTCATCACGGAAAGAAACGCTGATTTTCCTGGTAAGGGTGCTTCTTGTGTTCACAGTGCAGGACAAATATAAAGAAAAAAAATGAAAATATACTGAGGGAAACAAATAAGGGAACACCACGTCACTGCAGTGTTGTTTTTGTCAGATATTCACCAACGACCCAATCTAAGTTTGCTAAGCAACCCTGGACAGTATGGGAACATTTGTACTTTCAAACACTTTAACCCCTCCTCTTCTAACCCGGAATCGGGGGCGGTGGGGTAGTCTAGTGGTCTAAGCGTTCGCTCATCACGCCGAAGACCCGGGTTCGAATCCCCACATGGGTACAATGTGTGAAGCCCATTTCTGGTGTCCCCAGCCGTGATGTTGCTGGAATGGTGCTAAAAGCGACGTGAAACCATACTCACTCACTCACTCACACTAACCCGGAATCTAAACCAGAAAGTATTAAAGTCAGCATAAATGAATATTTTGTATTATTCCTGCACACATTTCTTCTTTTTCAGACGCAGGGGAATAAGGTGAAGGACGCACCCAGAAGTCTGTACTCAGCAGCCGCTGTGTCCGTCACAGCTGAATAAAGCATTTAACATACGTACAAGGGTAGTAAATGAAGGTTCAAGCTGTAGAGAGTAACTAAGGCTTTAGCTTTTAGCTTTACACATTGTTTCAGAGTGGGGATTCGAACCCGGGTTTTCGGCGTGACGAACGAATGCTTTGACGAACTAACGCTTTAACCAACAGGCAACCACATCGGCGCGTTTATAGCTGTATGTATGCATAGTATCAGTATAAATGTGAATAATTGTAAAACGTCTACACTGACGTCACGGGAAAATGACAACGGTGGGGTAGCCTAATGGTTAAAGCGTTCGCTTGTTACGCCGAAGACCCGGGTTCGACTCAGGCTCTCCACATGGGTACAATGTGAAGCCCATTTTGGAGGCCCCCGTCATGATGTTCCTGGAATATTGCTAAAAGCGGCGTAACACCACACTCACTCACTCAGTATCACGATGTCATAGCATCAGCAAACAAAAGTTGCATGTATTCTTGACAGACATACCACCCCGTCTACGAGGGCCGTCCAAAGGTAGTCAGCCTCACCTAGAACATTCTACAAATGCAGCGGTTTTTATGTTTTATTTGTCTACATATTATCTGTCAACCTCAAGCAGATTGCTTTTGCCATGTTCCAGCCTCACAATCCCCGTTTGGTTTTACTCTGTATCTTGGTAGCCCCCCTCAAAACGCAAAATCTGCAATAAATGCATCGCTTCAGGAAACAAAATATGCAAGAAACATTTTGTGTGATTGAGATAGGCAGAAGTCCTCTAGAATCAAATGTAGATATTAAAGAGGATAAAAATGCAAGTTGAAACTACAATCGCTTGTTAAAGTGACACCCCACACCCCACCACCCCCACACCCACCACCCCATGATGTTTACCGAAAGAGCTTGTTTTGGAGACACTACCCAACCCCATTCAGGACATAACTTATTCTAAAGTGTCAGCACTCAGTATATTGTAAACAGTGCCAGCTTCAATTTCTGGACACAATGTTTAAAATGGGGGTGTCCTTTAAAAACAGCCCGGTCTAAATATACATCAAGCAATCGAAATCTTTGAATGTTGAATATGACGGGAAGTCATCCAATACTATACTGAACATATTTAATATGATATTATCTGAGGGCATACCATTATCCAAGAGGTACAAAATGACAGGTCGTTTTTCACTTTCTGCAATTTTTAAGAAATATCATACCCCAAAAAGGGGCGGTGGGGTAGCCTAGTGGTTAAAGCGTTGGCTCGTCACGCCGAAGACCCGGGTTCGAATCCCCACATGGGTACAATGTGTGAAGCCCATTTCTGGTGTCCCCCGCCGTGATGTTGCTGGAATATTGCTAAAAGCGGCGTAAAACCAAACTCAGTCAGTCAGTCATACCCCAATGTGTAGTGATGACTAATATCTCGTTAACCACATTACTCACATATGTGAGATTTTGGATATGGCTTTGCTAATGATTCCTTCGAAGTAAAATGAAAGCTTTTCGAACATTGGACATCGAAAATATAGTAAGGCCGACTACTTTTGGGACGCCCCCCGAATATTGACACGTGTATATGCATCAATTCTCATATTTTGCTTGACAATGTGGATTTTTCAGTTGCAATGGATTTACATTACGGTATACCGAACCGAAGGCAAAATACCCGGTTCTACTAATACCGCGGTATACCGTTTCACCCCTGACCGCCTCCGTGGAGTAGTGGTTAGAGCGTCCGCCCGGAGAGCGGAAGGTCGCGGGTTCGATTCCCGACCGCGTCATACCAAAAGACATTAAAATATGGTACTTGTTGGTCCCTGCCTGGCGCTCGGCATTAATGGGTACATCAAGGACTGGTCGGCTCGGAGTCAGTATAATGTGTCTGAGTGGGGTATTCATGCTTCACTGCGGCATGGTATCTCAGTGAGCTAGCACTATAAAACCAGCTCCAGTCTTGGCTAGTACAAGCAGCCGCACATACACATACACATGCATGCACGACATCATATGAGCGAAATATTCTCAAGTACGACGTTAAACCCTATTTCACCTCACCTCACCGTTTCACCCCTAGGTTTAAGCGGATGTTCAGGAGTAAACCGACTGTTGCCAATAAGGCATCGTCGTACATGCACTCCATCATGTCTTAAAGCTTAAAGCGTTCGCTCGTCGCGCTGGAGACCGGGTTCGATTCCCCCAAAGGACCCGTGAAGATGCAGGTTAGAACTGGCATTTAGCGTCCCGTGCTTGTCGTATCGAAAGAAGCGACTCGGGGTATCGGGTGGTCAGGCCCGCTGACTTGGTTGATGTACGTCATCGTATCTTAACTAGGATTCAACAGCTGGAAGATTGCTAACATTATACATCAGTAGCAATATTTCTAAAATATCCGGAATCAACTGCGGATCTTATATTCAAATTCTAAAATTTTATTTTGATAATTCGTATGTGGCCTTGAAGGCGATTTTCCATTCCTTCAGTGAAAAGTTCATCATAAATTTCTGCTTCTGCTAGACATGGAGCAAGTTTCTGCTGCTACTGTTGTTGTTGTTGTTGTTGTTGTTTAACGCCACGCACGGCAATATTTCAGCTACATGACGGCGGTATTGTTGAGCCTTTTATTCAAGATATACCCGCCGGCTAACCCCAAGTGCCACACATTGTACCTATTATGTGTGGGAATCGAGCCGGATCTTTCGCGTGTCGAGCGAACCCTTTAACCATTCATTGTAATGACGGCTACCGACCCGCCGGCCTCTCCTCTATAAACACGCCAGTATACATCACTAACCCGACGGGTATAAGTGCATAGTTACTCTAACTCTATCGATTGAACAAGTAGCGTAAATACCTTTATTACCTACGAGGGCGAAATTATCGGGGTTCATATTTTTCATACGATGCCCTGGGGCAAAATATCACTTTGTCATGGTGACATGACGTCATGAACAATGCTATGACGTCACGTTTCTTCTATGACGTTGCGTCCTACAAGCGGCGACGGCGGGTAGCCAGCCTGTGTTTGAAAGTAGATTTGGGTATATTTTCCTCAATTTTACGACTTCGGTAATAAATAGAATATTATATTCGTGCCCATGTAATACTATGTTTACGACACTCGTGCCTAACATCGGTATATCCCTCGCTCTCGCTCGGGAAATACCAACGTTTAGGCACTCGTGTCGTAAACATTATATGACATGGGCAATCTCATAATATCCTCTATATAATATCCTTGTGGCGACGTTGAAGGGATCTACATGAACACTTCGAGTTACAAAGGTTAGATACATCCGCAAAGTGCTTATGAAAGGAGCACACAGAGACACAAATTCCTTCAACGGTGTTTGTCTGAACGCCACTGCTTTTAATGGAGGGTAGCGGTACAAGCGTTCGCTCGTCACGCCGAAGACCCGGGGACAATGTGTGAAGCCCATTTCTGGTATCTCCCGCCGTGATGTTGCTGGAATATTGCTAAAAGCGGCGTGAAGCCCATTTCTGGTGTCCCCCGCCGTGATATTGCTGGAATATTGCGGCGTAAAACTATACTCACTAAAAAGCGGCGTAAAACCATACTGACTCACTCACTTTGATGGAGACACACTTTACACTAGAGTCAGTCGAGGAACGAGGATCTATTCACTGGGTGATAAGGAAACATAAACCTGATACAATGCTGTACTTCCTTGTCGCTGCCCTGTGCGAACAATACAGCAATACAACATTATCGCACGAAACAACCAAAAGGTTGCTTGTAACTGGTTTGTAACCACGCACATTGCAATCAAATCCCATAATCACTGTTATCACAATAAAATAATTCACTTCCTTGATTTGTTTGAGTTAAGTACTGGCATGCTTCCAGTCGAAAAAAAATCACTTCTTATGAAATTCAGTGGTTTTACCGGGACAGCAAGACAGCAAGTGTACACAGATCAGCTATACTAACACTCGTGTAAGTCAGTTGATGTGGACATAAAACTGAATGCATTAATCATATCAATAAAGGCTGGTTTAAATGTCAGGTATTCCAATATATTCTTTATCTCGAAATGACTACACAAACATTTTATTTCCTTAATCAGAACACTTTTATCTCGAAAACCGGAACATATGATAAAACTATATCGAAATAGGAAAAACATCGGGTATCATTGTCACAGATGCATCGTATCTGGACATTCCTCCACATCTGGGCCCTGTTCCTCAAAGCGATCGTAGAGCTAAGATGATCGTAACTCCCATACTTTAACATAGACTTAAGGCAGTCGTAGCGCTACGATCGCTTTGAGGAACGGGGCACTGTACAATAAAAAGTTTTGGAAGCTACTCGAGTCCTTGGATGCTGTAACCCTGATAAAGCCATTTCTAGCAAGCTGTTCCGTGAAAGGAAATTGAAATCAACTAACACAACACATAGGCATAAGCTATTTACACTGATAGCTTCTCTTTGTGAAATACATGACTGCAGTGAAAGAAATGTTAGGCAAGTATATATGAAACAGGTATTGTTTGTGAAACGTGTTGTTATTATATACATGGGTAATGAATACCTGATGTTGCATGAGTTAATATGGGCCTTAATGTCTTAAGATGGAGGCGCCAATAACAGCCTTCAATGTCTTGGCAAAAGTGTAATCATATCATCATCATAATCATAAAAATATACATGTAGGTCTCAACGTGAGTATCCACGTTACAACAAATGGAAGTGTCCCTTACAATCGTTTCTTCTTCTCTCTTTTGAGAATTCAGGTTTTCGAGCTATGCCACATCTCCCTCCTACGAAAATCGTTCTTGCGCTGTTTTTGAAGAACGCTTGCCGTGACATAGCCAGCAATTATTTGCAATGGGCACTTTTAGACAATTAGGTCAAAGTCACCAATATTAACAACTAGGATACGACCTTGCAGGGAGGCGCTCAGCCAAGTGACATGAGTATCGAACCCTTTCCCATCCTCATAGACTCGCACGGCCTCAGCGACATCCTGATGCCCACGATAAGCTGAGACTAACGCTGTGGTCGAAACTATAGCAGGAATTGACGGGATGACGTTTCTGTCTTCTAGATCCCTTTGCATCATCAACACAAATGAGTCCACCAGTTCCAGAAATGATTCAGCTCAATAACCTATTTACTGTTATTCAATCCACATTCTATTCCTCGTTTCTCAAAGCTTGACTGAGATGTTCCCAAAACGTAGTGTCACTCCCTATATGCGGGTACTCGATGTAGGTGTTGTTCTGAATGTGATACAACAACTCGGGGGGCACGTCTCTGGTCGGTACATCTTCATACATCACAATGACCAAAACATCTCTCCCAGTAGAGATCCCTTCCATATTGGCCATGTTCACTTCATACATGCACCATTTGCTCCTCACGAAGTCCTTTGACAACACTATCACAGCCCGGCGACTCTTCTGAATGGCGTCAATGATGTTCTCCGCAATGGGATTCCCAGGCAGGAAGTCCCTATGATGGACGTTCAGTCTTATGCCCTCCGCTTCCAATTTTGGCATCATCACCGTCAAAACAAACTCTCTGTTTTCGTCAGCATAGGATATAAAGCCGTCATAATCAAACGACTGTCTAGATTCTGGCAATTTCATCACTCGTAACTTTGCAACGTAGTAAAGATATCGGAGCTTCCATCTGTTGCGGTAAATCATTGAAAAGCATATCAGACTAAAAACGAAACACGTTGCGAACAAAATCCACACCAACTTTCCAACTTCTTGGCTGCATGAAACTCTAAAATTTTCGATAAGCACATACGGGTTCTTCATATGAATGTTACGGTCTTCATTATTATAACATGTATAGTTTTCAAAGTTTAAGATCCCAACTTTTGAAATTTCCAGCCATTTAAGAAATTCAATTTGCGCGCACTTACACAAAAGGGGATTGCCAGTCAAATTGATGCTGATGTTCATCATAGGCCGAGCTGCCAACATGTCTAGTTGATGTCTTAGGCCCTTATATATGTACCAGATTTGATTGTATGAAAAATCTATGTACTGCAATTTTTTATTACATGTTAAATTTAATTCTATCTCTGGGAGAGCATTGTGGGATAAATCTAATTCTTTGAGATTATGCAGGCCTTGAAATATGTTGTATGGTAAATGATGGAGGAACTGCTTCGATAGGTCGAGATACTCAAGATTCTTCAAACTGCCAAATATTTGACCTTTCTTGTCACACGTGATGCATCTATCGAGGGAATTGCCTGAAAGATTTAAGTGTTCTAATGATGTCAAATACTCAAAAAAATGATAAGACACATTACTGGCTACGTTCTGTGCCAGGTTCAAAACTTTCAAATGATTCAAACCAATTATTGGCCCCTGCCAGTCGACCATGACGTTGAACGAAAGGTCAAGATGTTCTAGCTTGTTTTCGCCAAAATGGACCTCGGAAAGCGTTATAGATGATTCAGCATTGGCATAACTTACATACGTTAAGTTGGGTGGAATATGAAGAGGTCTTGTTTTGTTGGATGTCAATATATTTGATCTCAAAGGCATTTCAAAGGTTTCTTGAGGAAATGACCACATATTTTCTTCTGCAGCACAACTCTCGCTATGGCTACAGTGGTAATATTCAACAGTTGACAGGTCATCAGCAACGGGTATGATTTGTGACAGGTCTCGCACAGTTCCTCCCAGTTTAATATGCGTCAGGCCGGTCAGGTTTGAGAGGGAGAGTACGTATTGGGCAAATGCAAAGTTATTCCTGCGAACAGTCACATTTTGCAATGTTTTTGGAAGAAGCTCCAGAGTCTGTCCTCCAAAACTAACTATGCTGTTTCTATCTGCTTCAATTGTTTTCAGGGACGTATTCTCAAGATTCCTCAAATGACGATCAAGCACCACCACACAGAGTTTATGGCGAGAAACAATGTTGTTGATATACAGTTCTGTTATGGCTGAGGTTCCAAGACCCTCCGTTGCATTTTCCAATCCATCAAATCCGAGTTGCCAATTCCCTGTGAGATTCAGCGTTGTAATGTTCTGTAGACGCGAGAGCGAACCGGGTTCTATTGACCGTAACCCGCAGCAGGACATATCCAGATGAACTAGGGACGTTAGATTCGAAAATGCCTCCAAAGATATACTTTGTACATTATTATGAGATATGTTTAAGTGTTTCAGCCTTGGAAGGTCACTGAAAGCCACGCCCACTTCTTGTCCGAGCTGGTTGTGGGACAGATCCAGAATTGTCAGATTGGGTAACTTTTGGAAATATGTTTCTGGGAATGATTTAATGAAGTTGAATGTTAGATTTAAGACACATGTTGAGTTTGGTAAATTCTGTGGGAGCTGCACCTCACTCAAATTTCTGTTGGAGCAGTCGACGTGGCAGCAGTGGTTCAACCATGTCTTCGTGCAGGGAGCAGGTTTTGAACCGTTAGTTCCAAGTGATGACGGTGTGCTTAAAATGCAGTTTAAACCCAGGATTAAAGTAGTGAAGAAGGTTGACATACGCATTTTTCTTTCCTGAAAGTAGATTGGAATAGCACATATTATATGAACGCTGCCATGTACATATTATAATCATTACTATCATTCTCCCTGAAAGTTGCCAGTTAATACAACGGGAATCTTCGTGGCCTATAACCTCCCTTCTTACAGTTTAGCTTCCTTCACACATTGTATCTTTGTGGAGAATCGAAACCGGTCTTCCGTGTGACGAGCGAACCCTTAAACCACAAGGCTACCCCACCGCCCTAGAAAAAGATGTGAAATACCGATTTCTCACTGTGAGTGGGTAGGAATTTACACACATCCTTTAAATATTCCAGCCATAACAGGATTTGGGAGCACCAGAAGTATATTGGTCCCAATGTTGCCAAGAGTACTGCGTTAGAGACACAAAGTTGTCATTTCGCTCCCATTCTCCTTACAGTGTAGCATGGGCCATGTCGACTACTGTGTGAGTGAATATGGTTTTATGGCGCATTTAGCTATATTCCAGTATTATCAGGGGACATCAGACTCTCGACAGGCGCATCATTGTGTGACGTAGACGAATGACGTGTTCATGGCGTGAAAACTATTGAACTATTGAAAACACGGTGCAGGTATGCACGGGACCAGGTTAAACTTGTTCAGTGGTTCAAAGGAAAACCAACAAGGTCAGGTACCATTAACTTTGTATATTCTGGTGAAGGGTACAGCAGGGGCATGCATCACATGGATGCCGCCATATTGGTTCTCTACCAAAAAGTTGGAATGATACAAAATGTAGGTGGAAACGGAATTGGCATGCAAAAACGAAACAGGATTCATAGATAAAGTGAATGACCGTCATGGACGTTGTCCTGAGTTTGTGCCTGAGGAGCACAGAGAGGTCTGTTGCTGTTGGACAGCTGAGTACCTCCAACAGCAGAACATAGCCACCTTACTATGGTCAGCACTCAGTCAAGACCTGTCACACATGTCTGGAATATCCATAGGCGGCGCGTACGTCACCGTCAACAATCACTGACCAGTCACAGCTAACGTGGCAATGTCCTGCAGGAACAACGGGTTGGAATGAACCAAGTTGACGTTGGACGTTTGATCAGGACTCTGCCACGTCGAAGGCGGGATGTTTTGAGAATAGAGGCGGATTCACGCGGGTTTGACCTTTCGTGGTAAATGACGTAATGTACAGAATAATGACGTAATGCACAGAATTTATATCATCTACCTTATCTATCTTTGGTCATCTGACCTTCAACGACTAACATGTTCCCGTTACACTGTTAAACTGTTTATCTCATTAGCGATATAAAATATCAACAGTTGTGACGAACATACTCATTCAAATTAATTCGCGAAAAACAGGTGCCAAAACTTAGGTTGGTGATCTTGTAAAAAAAAAAAAAAAAGTATATGAAATCGTGAAATATTGAATTACCATGAATCATTAAAATTACCATTAGTGTTAACAAAATTGCATCAATGTATGTTTGTACCTCGTTGACAAATGATGTCTTCAAATGACGAGAAATCGATCTATCGACCTTACGTTGTATTTAATACAGGGTTTGAATAATATTCCACCATCAGTGTTACCCTGAACAGATTGTAAGCCCAAGTGACCAATCAAATAACAGCTGGAACAAATGCGGCCTTATATCCTTATTTGGAATTCGGGGCCGTATGCTGTGTTAGTTTTGGTTGTAGTTCATTATAATATTGACGCCCATTCGTTCCTTACAAATGCTTCCTGGAATGGACTATATTATGCAAGTTTCGGCAACAGGAACAAGGATAGAGTTAATAGACTTCCTGATCACGTTGAAAACAAAGGACAACCCAGTGAATCAATGACACTTGACTGTTCGAAATATCTATGTGTCAACAAAGAGTGTCAACATCTTTATCAGCAACAGGTTCGCCGGTCAGAATTTACTCGTCTTTGTGCGAGAATATGATATACCTTGCACATTTCGCATGTTTGTATGTATTTATCAATGTTCCATGCAATTAGGGGCGGTGGGGTAGCCTAGTGGTTAGAGCGTTCGCTCGTCACACCGAATTACACCGGTTCGATTTTCCACAGGGTTACAATGTGTGATCCAATAAACCGAAAAATCGATATAAGTGCAAACTTGGAAAGTATATACTTTCCTAATTTATAGAAAGATTTAACATACGTGATTTGATTACTGATCACAGATCATCGGAAATATATAAAAACAGACCCAACAAAAGCAGTAGGTTTGCAAAGAGAAATGAATATAATATTTTCGTTCCGTTTCTATTTCAACATTTTACTGTCCCTGTCTTTGCACGCGGCGAGGCTTGCACGAACCGAATCAGCTGCTGTAATGTTAAACGTTACCGTGCGAGTTGAAATCTTAACATTAACTCCCCGCTAGCTGCCGGAATAACATAGGATGCAGTGTGGAAGTTGTGCCCAATGGATATATTCGAATGAACGAGATAATAACTGTCTTTAAGTTACTCCATAAACAGCGTAGCTAACGATTTGCATAAGATACGATGTACATCACTGCAAGAGCGATACGAGATAACGCCACGGGGCCTTATCAATGCTATAATTTATTATTAAAAACTCTTGATGATAATGGTAAGACCAGTTGTAACTTGGTTTCAAATGTTAGATCTTTGCTGTTTACTTGTGGGTATTCTTTTGTTTGGATTGCGCAAGACTGTGATGAGGAGTTATTTCTATTTTCATTAAAACATAGATTACAAGATATGTATTATCAAACATGGCACAATAGTATTTCATCCTCATCCTTTTTTATGTCATTATAATTCGATTAAGTCAACTATAGAACCAGGGAAATATTTAACATCATTAGAAAATAATGATTTGATAAGAGCCATGTGTAAATTTAGACTTTCCCTACACAATTTTAATGTCAATTTATCCAGAAGGTATAAACACGACGATTTTGATCTAATTATAAATGCAGTTGCAACATTGTTAAAATGTATATTCATTGCTAGATAACTATTCAATTTGTGCTCACGTCACATTATAAATACATTATATATTAACTGTAAAATGGGCCATAAGGCCGTATATTACTGAATAAAGTGTCTGTCTGTCTGTCTGTCTGTCTGTCTGTCTGTCTCGGGCTGTAGGCTTCTTCAAATAATCAGTCTATGCTAATACTGCCCAGTACTACATTCACACACAATATGGACATAGTACATTTTTCGAAAGTAGGTATATTTCCCATAAACATTAGAATTTCATATTATAAAATCAAATTAAGTTTCATTCAGGAACGTGTAAGAGTAGCATGCTTGCAGGTATAATGGCGCTTACTTCATTTGCAAGTTCATAGCTTTATATGGCGCTACCCATTTGAAACAAACTAATCAAATATTTCTCAAAATAAAAAACCTGCGGTGTTAATCAGCAGCTTACCTGGAGTTCGAAACACGTCTATCAGCCGGGTAGAGAGGGCAGCGTCTGCACAGGCAACTGTTATCTATTCCCACGAGGAGACCGCTTTTCGTTTCCTTCTTTGCGGAAACAGTCAAATGAAGGATGTCGCAGTGATACTCTGCTGGTGAAGTTTCAATACAGCTTCATATTTCCGCATTGAATACAACCTACTTTCAAATAGCAGATTGCATCGCACATATATTTACTGTGTTGTGAAACAAATCTATTTCTAAATGTTTTTCTTTATTTGCAAGTATCTGAATCTCAGAAAGTCTACACTGTAGTCGTATTTACAGCTAACAGGTGACAATTTATTCCAGGAAACCCAAAAGTGCAGAAACTCTTCGCACTGTGTCAAAGAATTTGACAATATTCAAAATGCAGATATCATGAATGTTTGCCCAAGAATAAAAAAATAAAAAAATTGTTGTTGCGAAAACTAAACTACTGTCGTAGGCACTTTGATGGGGTATGGGGTTTATCGGGAAATATAGACATGTTTGTATATTCTCTGAGTTAAGTTAAAGTTGTGTCATGTGTACTGGGAATGTCAGGAGACACAAACTTTTTGGAAAAACCTGCAAATTTGGCTTAACAATTTATACCCTCATCCACTGCTATTATCAAAACATATGGTTTGGTTTGGTACTCTACATCATAATATATTACTAAATCACATCATCATTGCAGCAAAAAGACACATTTACGTATGCAGTATTAAAAATACGCATCCAAACATAGCTCTATTTATAAAAAATTTGAAAGAAATATTCTTTGTGGAAAACCATATTTGCAAAAGAAATAATAAAATAGAAGATTTCAATCATAAATGGGGTCTTCTCTTCCAAGTACTTTGATGAATTTAAAATGTACCCAATTTACCTGAGGTCATATTTCTCTTTTATTGACTTATATATGTGTATTAACATGATATTGACATAGTACCTGTACATCATCCATCTGTCTGTACACCACTGTTCTACATATGACATTGTAATCATGGGAACCAATAAAAACAAATATAAAAAAATTAAAAAAAACCCTGTGCTGTGCCGTCTCCATCCTTTCTCGCACACCCGGCTGTCCCTTACTCTGCACTCCTCCCTCGTAACAAATAGTGAACTGTGTCGATATTTTAATGATAGTTTGTTAAACAACTTCTTTATTTTTAGGACATAAATTCTGCAAACACCTCTTAAAAAAAAAAAAAAAAAAAAAGAGTTAAAGTTGTGTTATCTAAATCTAACTCACAGTGCTGACACTATACATGAAACATCAACAGCTTATTATCATGACCATCAGTACAGCCATGTACAGGTCAGCTGCCTGCGTGTAATTAACCCTAATTAACCTTAGATTATGGCCGGTTGGCCACGGAAGTTTAACATCGTGGATGAGGTGCATGCTGGATACTGCAGGTTGACCATACATGTGTCGTAATACGATACAGGGCAGCCTGACAGTCAGTAGTATATAGACAATGAATTCTTAATGTAACGGGACTTGACCCTCGGACAGCGGCTAGGCAGGTGGGCGGACGATCGCCTCTGTGATGCTGCCTGGCCGTTGCTGCACTATCATGTAATTTGCATATTTAGCTGCCGAATAAAGTGTTGTGGACCCACTATAACAGCCCGGGATACTACTTCGAGCCAGACCCAGGACCGCCCAAGATCGGGAAGACCAAGATTCATGACATTGGTGCGAAGACCGCTGCATCCGTCACAGATTCATGATGGCAACGTCAGACGGACAGTCCTTGGACGATTTGGTATGGCTGGTATACGAGCCTACCGTACCTTCCGTGGAATGGCATTGACCCGTCTACACCGTCGACGCAGACTGCAATGGACACGATCTGTACGTCGGTGACCGCGACATTACTGGGAGAGAGTGCTCTTTACAGATGAAAGTCGGTTGTCTGTTCAGAAACGGCAGAATTCGAGTTTTTCGACATAGAGGAGAGCGAATGGCGCCAAACTGCAGTCAAGAAATTCATCCGCTCGATGGGGCGTAATGGTATGGGGTGCCATTTGTGGCCGAACAACAAGACGGGTTATCATCCGAGGAAATCTGAATGCCAAGCGATACAGGGATGAAGTGGTGAGACCTTTTGTAATGCCCTTTATTCTCACGCCGAAGACCCGGGTTCGATTCCCTGCATGGATACAATGTTATCAGCCGATTTCTGGAGTCCCCCGCCATGATGTAGCTGGAATGTTGCTAAAAGCGGCGTAAACTCACTCATCCCATATAGAGAACATGGTGTCTAGGGTTATTCCTGAAACATATGCACACTACTCTCTGTTCAGCACCATGAATGCCAATATACTCATCGATGGTGCGAATATATTCACATTGACCAGAACTACAAATGCATTGACAGGCACCAAATTGCATGCTTATGTTCACATTTACAATTATTGCGAATAGTTTTTACAAGATCATTGCTGCAAATATTTACACTCATACTATCAATTCAAATCAGTCGTTGTAAGTAAACTTGGGCTCAGTATTATTCGTTACACTGCTACACTGCGTCTAACAAACCCTAGTTGAAGGTCGTGTCAGCTAAGGAAATGTTTCAATAGGCACAAAAGAAACGCATCATGAAAAAACAATTATATGTAGTATTGATATTCATATCTGGATCAATAAACCAGTGATTGATGTAATGAACAACATCTCACGACGTCATCAACCAAGTGAGCATGGTCACCCGATCCACGTAGTCGCCGCCGGCAATGAGACACAGGTGCTTGTGTTACACCCAGTATGTGCAACTGCCATTTACAGTGTTTTGGCGGACAGGGTTACCTCAGGTGGTAATTCAGTAGCAACCGCTTGACAAACAGGTGCTCCTGTTTGCGAACAGGGATGAGATGCAATAGTGCATGTCATAGTCACACATCCTGTGCAAACTGTGACTGAACTGAACAGTGATGTGATTCAGATACTCTATATATGCAGATAACACTGCTGGAGCTCGGTATGAATTTTGTGACACTGCTTGGAGTCCTTATACAGTGTCTGGGTTGGGTATCAGTGTTCACCTGCGGCATGACATCATGCGTTAGAACGATTACAGATGTATTGGTCAGCACGCACGCACGCACGCACGCACGCACGCACCCACGCGCGCACCCACGCAGAAATTACACTGCCTCCTGGTGCAACGTTTGCCATAATAGATATACATTTATCAATATAAAGAGAGGAAGCTAGTCACCATGGTAACGTTTTGTGACGCACTATCAAGGATGAGAGTGAGTGACACTGCACTTTCTAAAGGACATCCTGCAAGTTCGTGAGTCAGTGCGTCCGTCCATGCGTGCGTGTGTATGTGTGGTCAACGATTTCCCCTCAATACTACGTACGTGAGTGGCTTCACACATTGTCTAAGTTTTTAACACGTGTGCACACGCGTGTGTGCGCTTGTGTGTACGCAAGCATGGACCACTACCATATGTTACACAGTAATAATGTCCGAGTTATTTTTCTCCTTGCACTCTAAAAGAATGTGCCAGTACCCACTTCGGATTCGATTTCCAGATCGGAGTTAAATGTGGAATGCCTGTGCGGAGCAGAGTCCTAATTGGGTTTGTAATCCGACCTAGAACATTTACAGTTAGTGTTATTAAATTATTACTGTAAAACCTCTACAATCCGGACCTAGTTAAACCGAAACCTCTCCTTCCAGGTGGCAGGGAACTTCTATGTGTACTCATTAGAAGAACACAGAAAGAACACCTTTCCTACTCAACCTACAAGGTACAAGTTGGGTTGCATGACCTACTGAAGACCGTGAAGGTCTGGGTCAGAATGAACCTTCAGTAACCCATGCTTGTCGTAAGAGGCGACTAACGGGATCCGGTTGTCAGGCTCGCTGACTTGATTGACACATGTCATCGGTTCCCAGTTGCGCAGATCGATGCTCATGCTGATGATCACTGGATCGACTGGTCCAGACTCGATTATTTACAGACCGCCGCCATATAGGTGGAATATTACTGAGAGAAGCGTAAAACTAAACTCACTCACTCACTCACTCTTTCTTTAAACGTGTCACGGTCGGCCTGCCACAATTCGCTGTGTGCTGGGTTACGTCCCTTGGACGTAAACAACCCAGAATGATCAAAGGTTCAAATGTCAACTTGTTTTGGATTCTGTTGCAAGGCTTCTCACAGATGTACCCGTGCTCTTGGGTTTCATAAAAAGTGTATAATACCGGAAATACTTGTTTCACGAGGTCGGCTGGACATCATGTTACAGTTTGATCAGTGCGCTATTTTGAGTGAGTGAGTGAGTTGGGTTCTACGCCGCTTTTGGCAATATTCCAGCAATATCACGGCAAGGGACACCAGGAATGGGCCTCACCATTGTGCCTGTGTGGGGAATCGAACCCGGGCCTTCGGCGTGACGAGCGAACACTTTAACCACTAGGCTACCCCACCGCCCCTCTCACTGAGGTATCAATAAGTTGGATTACAATAAAATAATACATCTGAATGAGAGAAGGAAAGAGTGTAATTTAATACCTCAGTAAGCATCATTTGATCACAGGGGCAGGTATATAATTGCGTCACACATACACACTCACTCACGCACGCACGCAGTGTGTAGCTGTGAAAATACTACCGAACCATTCGAAATAATGAAAATTATATTTTATTGAGATGTCACTCGCCGTTCAACGATAATTACGTCGTGTTTAGAAACAAGTAACAAAACTACAACCACAGATTAATGGATTAAAAAACAGCAAACGCCAAATATTGATCAGGTGTCCCGCTGTATGTATTGCAAGTACGTAACTGCCATGTATCACATGCAGTTAAACACCCACGACTCCCCACACCACGACTTGGCTGGGTCTCGGTAGAAGAAATGTCCAAACACCCGCACAGCCTTGTAGTAAAAGGCCGCCATGGTTCGACATTGCAGGTCACTGCAGCTCTTGTCCATGTTCCTTTTGAAACGCCTGTCGCAGTCTTCTTTTGACCTTTCATATCTTGACCCCTATAAGGAAAGACGTATATGCATCCTTATGAAAAGGAAGTAAACACAATGTGATAATGTGTGAACACCCACGCTCAAGGATGTACTATATTACATGCAACATGTGTCTAACAGTGTCTAACAGTGTCTAACAGTGTCAGGTTAACGTAAGCAAAGGTATACCATGATAAAATCAGTGCTGATCTAAATGCATGATGTTCTCACAAATCTTCACGGCCTACTAGTGTTTTACTGTTAGTTCCTTATCTTTAAGTGGGGCGGTGGGGTAGCTTAGTGGTTAAAGCATTCGCTCGTCACGCCGAAGACCCGGGGTCGATTCCCCACACAGGTACAATGTGTGAAGCCCATTTCTGGTGTCCCCGCCGTGATATTGCTGGAATATCGCTAAAAGCGGCGTACAGCAAAATTCACTCACTCACTCACTTTAAGTAGACATTACCCAGTAATATTTATTTAGAAGAAGTTTGTTTGTTTGTTTGTTTGTTTGTTGTTTAACGCTACACTCAGAAAATATTCCAGTCATTTGGCGGCGGTCTGTAAAGAATCGAGTCTGGACCAGACAATCAAGTGATTAATAGCATGAGCATCAATCTATGCAATTGGGATAGCGAGCCTGACGACCCGATCCCATTCGTCTCCTCTTTCGACAAGCATGGATTACTGAAGACCAATTCTAACCCGGACCTTCACGGGTCTACATGAAGACATTCACCGTATAAACTCCTCCATTACGAAAGTGTAGAATTTGCCATAGTGTGGGATTTAACTCAGTACGTCAACCAGAAGTGTACATAACAAAGCAGTGTTAAACCAAACTCCCTCACTCACTCATAACTGAGAATACAGATGTAAATGTACACAACCAAGCTGCTGGGGTATAGAGATGTTAACGCAACGTGTAAATCTGAAAGGAAGAACTGTTCAATGTCTAACGTGTCTAAACAACACGATACAGTGATGCGATATTGTCATGAATATTCTTGGAAAATTAATTATATTTACGAGTAAAAAATTGTTGTAAGTTGCGTTTAAATAGAAATATTTAGGTTCATAATTCGGATAATAAAATATCTAGTTTAGCAGAAAACACTGTTCTTCCTACATGACGTTGATACTATGTAATGAAATACTGAAGTTACGTTAATCCTTTCACTCCTGCATTGACAAATCATTCGTAACTTCTTCCTTCTGCCAAGTCAAGCAATATTTACATGTACTTACACACGCATAGCATACATCGTGTCTGTTGCAGTAAGGTCTGAACGTAGACTGGTAGGGTACCCACTTGAACAACGTCGTACAGCCGTTGACGTCACCGCCAACACATATGTCGCCACTGGAGACGCATCCAACAAAGGCAATACACACCAATACGATCGCTAGGTTACCCATACTGGAAAACAATACATTACTGCAATTGAAGACAGTTCATCTATGTATTGAGTGAGTGAGTGAGTTAAGGTTTACTCCGCACTCAGCAATATTCCAGCTATATGGCGGCGGCCTTGAAATAATCGAGTCCAGTGATCAACAATATGAGCATGGGCGGATCCAGGAATTTTGAGGAGGGGGCTTTCCTCTGCCAACGCCCCTGAATGCGGTCTTAAGTCTTTTGGATCCGCCCATGATGAGAATCTTTCGCCACGACTGGGATTAACCAAGTCCTCAAAAGAACCTGGCAAGTGTGTAAGGTCAATATATCATACGTTTTTCTAAAAGATACCCCAAAAAAAAACAAAAACAACAACACAAACAAAAAACAACAACAAAAAGCCAAAAACAAAACAAAAAAAAAACCAAACCAACCAACCAACCAACCAACCAACAAATCAAACCAAAACAAACCAACAACAAAAATACAAAACAAAAACACAAAAACCCACCCAGACAGCAATCAAAAATGTTTTTTTAAACCTGTTATTACGAGCACCTAAATACCTACCTTCCCACCACGTTATGTAGCACACAGATGAAGAATGTCACGTGCAGTAATACTTCCTTGTGAAATATTTCCGTAACATTCTATCCACGAATATAATGAGCAGGAAGAGAAAGTATAAATATACCCAGATGACCCATGATCATGCATGTGTCATTGCGTGCTGTAGTTTGTGATGTACATCAAGTTAGTACCAGAGTGGTAACATTGATATACATGTATTCTGTTTCACTGGTACTCTAACACACCTGGGGCACGGGTCTCTAGAGTTGTGTCCCTTGGGAACACCAGGAAGTTATTATAGTTAGTTGGAATCTCGATTCGGCCCGATGATATATGTAAGCTGGAATTCCATAGACCTGCTCGTGTGTTTTATAAAAGACGTAAACTAAGACTGGCATGACTTCGGAGTTTCCTTTAATTTGTGCTGACATGTCGTGATGGCGTGGGCTACCGTGCAAGGCAGCGTTAAACCCAACTCACTCACTCAAAGCTAAATGATACAGTGTTGTCTTTATATAACACTGGCAGTTTTCGACAGCCCAATATAACAAAACATCACAAACATTTCGGTATTTTCACATATGTTCTTATTTACCTCGTATGAAGTAACAAATGTTTTAATCGCTAATATGTATATGTAGACAAATTGTCAAATTTTCTTGACATTGATCATTCACTAAACTTACAGAAAATTTCAAGCCAGAGTGATAATTTGGATGTGTTTACTTTTCTATCCCATTTCTACGATCCAATTCAAATATCAAGTTTCATCTAAATCGTGATAATGCGTGTCCATATATACTACCGGAATAAAGTAACTGTGCATTATATGATGTTGTGCCATTTTTAATACAAAAGATGATAACATGATTTGTGGTGTTGACGGGATAATATCGAAATCTGTATGATCTGAGACTAGGCATCGTGACACACCCTTGAAGAGATGTGGTGTTAAAAGTCAGTTCATAAATTCAGTATTGTGTGTGTCCACCATTCCCGTTGATGCAGGCTTGACAACGATGACGCATAGACGACACTAAGCGATTGAAGACGCTTGTCCCAATTCAGCTAACGTCAATGGCTGATTCTGGGCTTGACGTAAACGTTTCCCCATTTCATCCCAAGCGTGCCCGGTAGGGACAGGTCCGGAGAAACAGCTGGCCAGGGGAGTGCCGGAATGGTCTGATGTCTCAGGAAATCTGTCACAACACGAGCGACATGTGGACGGTATTATCTTGCTGAAGCGTGAAGTTACGTCTCTGTCCTTGAAAGAACGGCTGCACATGAGGCCCAATAATCGCAGACCTGTCAGGTTGCCATTGGCAATGTTGTATCCGACTATGAGTTGTGATGACCCCCATACCACTTTTATTTTA